ACCAAGCTCCTCGGATGCGAGAAGCTCGATCTTCTGGCTGGTAAGATGCTCTCTACCGATCGTGAGGTTAGAGTGGCTCTGGATCTCACCGCTTAGAGGACCTTGTCGACAAACAGTCAGCGTCGGCTGTGTTGTCGCCCTTCCGCATCGAGACTTGTATGCAGGTTGCAGACTCCCAGTGCAGCGGTGCGTTCCCCTCTCTCATCCCCTATCAGCTTATACATATATCGTGAGTATAGCTTTCCTCGATGACATCGCTAACTTGCATGATCCTGCGCTGTTTGTCGCGATCATTGAATCGGAATGGGACAATCGCGTTCACACCAAGGATCCCAAGAAACAGCAGCCTCTGAAGAGTGCTACTGCCATGGCCGAGGTCGTCGCCACCCGGTGCGTTCAATGTTCATGCTCAACCTCTTCTACTGAAGATGCAAAGACTGATATCCTATTCTCAGTATCCACAATGCCTACATGCTTGCATCTGCCTGGCGATCATCGCGGATACTCTACACGATCTCGAAGACGACGGGCTCACGGATGCCAACATCAAGTCTTTGTTACGGGACAACGAAACATTGCGGGCAAAGTATCTTTTCCTGTACCACTTTGTGTGCGATCTGGTACAAATGATGCAAGAAAAGTTCGCTCTGATGGCTTCTACGACTCGTAAGAGGATGTACCCCTGAACTGCGTCTACGCAACTCATTTCCTGTTGCATCCCAGCCCACTACGCAAAATATTTCAGGCCAAAAACGGATGGGGTGATCCAATTTGACTGGGACGCGCTCAAAGCTGCTGGGAAGTCATTCTTGGATTCAATCATTGTGGAAATCGCTTTCCCGAAAGCGCCTTATCCGATGACTGTCCTGTATCAGATCCTGCGTGATGCAGTCGACGAGTCTCCCAAGGAAGCGAAACGTTTTCCCCAAGGGCTTTGGGATGCTGTTGGCGATCTCTCGGTAATGCCATATTCCGTAACGCCACGCGACGCCGGTCACTGATGTCTCATCTTAGGTGTGTGTTGAGCTACAGGCCATGTTGGATGCTGCCTTGATCGTGCCCGAAGAGTTTTCTGTGTGGAGGAATAAGCCCGAGCTTGCTGCAAAGCCCCGAATCTTTCAGGAGTGGCTTGATGCGACGGCCTTGTCCGAGGAAGCGTTCGATCCGAGCCAGCTTGCCAACTGGAAGGAGATCATCTACCCCCTTGTCAAGCGAAGAAGCAGACTGTCTTGGAAAGCATGTGGCTGGCCATCAATCAAGTTCACAAGCAAGTCGCCGGCAAGGATATTGATTCTCTATGGCAAGTGCAAGATGCTTTGGCTCGAGCTCCTCAATGGCACGCCTCGGCCAAGCAATAGTCAAGTTCAATGCAGCCGCCACTCAAGACGACGATGACGAAGACGACGGTCCACTTGGTGCCGCGGTTACCCGCAGAAGAAGGCCAAGATACTCCGGATCACTGACGGGCAAGACAGTGACGACTCGATGCCAGCCTTGCAAACTGTCTCCAACTCATCGGACGAAGATGATGACGCAGTGGTAGTGTCCGACCACGACGACGACGCCGACGACGGCTCTGATGCGACGGAGAGCGAATACGACGAGGACCAAGAAGATGAGATCCGCGACCTCTTGCGCGAGGCCATGGATGCTGCACACGAAGCCGATCTATTCGGTAACGATGGGGACACGGACCCATTCAATAAGGATGAAGATGATATTGGCAAAGGCAATGCCTTTTTGAAGTTATTAGGGTCGCTCAAAGGTGTTTATGCTTACATTCATCCTCTGATTTTTACTCATTCATCTGCCCCAGGACGTGTTTTCAGCACCAGTCCCAAGTTGAAGCCCAAATCGGGAACGCCTGCGCCACGCGGGGCAAAGTCCGGATTCTTTGGCAAGAAACCAAAACCAAAGCTCCTGTTTACCAGAAGGAGGATCCTGGTATGTATCTTCAGATTGGCTTCCTGTCGCGATTGAATCCATTTCCCGCAGCAAAACCTCAAGCTCCTCCCAGCAAGAAAGCCACTGTTGAGGAGGTTGAGGATGAAGATGACGCACCTGCCTCCTCTCCGAAGAAGAAGAAGAAAAAACCCAAGAAGAAGAAGAAGAAGGCCGCGGTGGCCACTGCAGAGGCTGTGGACGCAGACGCAGACAGCGAGGAGGAGGTCGCTTCACCCGTTATGTCCTCCCCAACTTCGCGCGTCCCGCCGACTTCCCCAGCATCACCCAAGAAGGCTACCGCGCCCAAGTCCCCCGTGGCCAATCTGGCAGCGGCCGCCCAGATCTCAAGCGTGTCGTTGGCTATGCCGACGGAGACCGCGACCGCACAATCTGCTCGGGCTTACTTGAAGACGGAGAATCTACTGGATCAGAAGAACAAAGTCAAGTCTCGCTCCGAGGCTGTCCCCGAGAAGCAGAAGAAGGGTTTCCTGTCCAAGTTTGGGTTCGCTCGGTCTCGGGATAAGCCTGAGCCAAAGAAACGCAGCAACTGGTTCTCTCGTCTGACGAAGAGAACGACGATGAGCATGCATCAGCTGCTCCGTACATCGGAGGACGAGACGCGGGGGATGGCGTCCATGAAATGGGACGCATTCGTCAAGGCGCGATGTGTTGTAGACTTGATCTATTCATTCCTGACTTGATGCAGCTTATGCAAGAGATGGGTTTCACCTACGATCCTAGCACAGCTGGATCCAGTGTCCGCTTCGATCCGCCTGACCCAAAGGATGTCGTGAGTCCTCCCGTTCCGCTTCGTAAACATTGCCTTATCCTTCTTCCAGTCCATCACTTTCCACAAGCGTGTGTTATCTAGCACATGAGATTCTCGTTGCCTGCTGACTGACATACAGCTCACCCCGACACCACAATCCACCCTGTAATGTTGCGTACATTCGCCAAGCGGTTAAAGCGCAGCTATGGTTGGAGCGAGGCAGATTTCCTGCAATCGTAAAGTCTTGAGGTGACGTCATTTAAACGAATCTCCTCTTTCAATGCTTTCCTACTGTATGGCCTTTTTGTGCAGTTCATATGAACAACAATTGAAATCATGTATATGTACGGGTCCAGTAACAAGAACAAAATTGTTTCAAACGCGTAACGTGACCGTGATGAGTCGTCACTGTCACTCTACCAGAAACCTGCACCATGAAACGCGGTGCAGAAAAGCAAATCTCGAAGGATGATGGAGCCGAGGAGGAGGAAGTCCAGGTGCGCCAGTCGTCACGAGCTGCAGGAACGACGCGAACATTTGTAGGAACCATCTGGCACGGAGGGGTTTCGCAAAGCGAATGATTCTGTGTTAGCCACAAGACAGTCAGTCAGACACATTTCGAGCCCAGTCACTATGTGTTGACGCGCCGTGCAGGATAAAAGGTATTCCTAGGCGATCGACAGCAAGTCCTGCTTCGCCCTTCACTCCGGCAGACGTCGCGAAATCAGATGTGCGTGCGTTCTCTCATTTTGATCGCGCTCGAAACTCAACCCATCACTCAGACCGACGGTTCCTCGGCCCCTCCGAGATTCGCTGGGTTCGCTGGGTTCGGTGCGCCGAGCGGCGGCAGCGCGAAGCCTTTTTCCTTCACGCCTCCCTCGGCCTCTCCCTCGTTCACCAAACCAGCATCGAGCCAGCCGTTCGTTGTTCCCGGATCTCCCACCCCTACGCCCCTCCCGCCATCTTCCGCGTTCAGCTTCGGCAGTGCAGCCCCGAAAGTTTCGGACAAGGCTTCGAATGCTGCGAAGGCCTTCGCGTCGATCGTCGGTGGCAGCGGCAGTGGCGCCGGGGCACCAACGAGCCCGGTTGAGAGCCCGAAGCCCGCAGGCTCGAATGAGGCGGCAGTGCGGTACTACACGTACCTGCGCGGGCTGAACGTGTCGGTTGTCGCGCACATCAGGCAGGCCATGGACACGAACCCGTTCCTGGACCTGGGCCCCGTGTTGGAGAAGTACGTCTCGCTGCGGGCGGGGATACAGAAAGATTTTGACAATGAGAGCGGTGTGGGGAAAGAAGAGACCGTTGTGGATTCGTCGGCGGCGGCGTCATCGTCGAAGAAGCAGAACGGCGCGGCACCACCGACGCTTCCGTCACCGCCGCCCACATCCATGCCGGCGGCCCCAGCGTCGTTTGCTGGGTTCGGCGGGTTCGGAAAGCCTGCTGCCACGCCAACATCCACACCGCAAAGCACGCCCTCCGGGATGGTCACTCCTCCCGCCACATTCGCTCCCTTCGGCAAACCTGACGCTAAGAGCAGCTCTACCTTGCCTACACCCAGTTCATCCTTCAAGCTCGACGACGAGGGCAGCACACCCAAATCGGTGTTCCCAGCCCCGGCAAAACCGTCCGTGTTCGGCGGCGCGGGTTCGTCCAAGCCGTCGTTTTTCAGCCTCGGTGGGCCGTCTCCGGCATCAGCCTTCGCCGCGCCTGCTTCGTCGTCCGACGAAAAGCACCCGGCCTCCGTTTTTGGTGGCAAGCCCCCCAGCAGTATGTTCAGCATCGCAGGCGACACACCTCCCATTGGGAAGGGCGCTGTAGGGTTTGGGTTCGGCTTCGGAGCGGCGGCTCCGATGAAATCCGAGGAAGCTAAGACCGAGGAGAGTAACACTGAAGCAGCCAGTGGAAGTGCACCTCCGGAGGCCGAGGGCACAAGCCAGGAATCGACTGTCAGCACCGAAACCGGGATGTCGCAGCATGATGTTGAGGGTGAGGGCGAGGAGGACGAAGACACGGTTGCCTCCTCCCGCGTCAAAGTTTACGAGTTGAGGAAGAAGGACAAAGACGCACCACAAATGTCGTGGCAGATCTACAGCGTCGGTGCGTCTGCTCTGACTGACTTTGACTGCGTACCACCAGGCTGAGATCGGTCCCAGGTTTCCTGCGGCTCAAGAAGCATAAAACGACCTCCTCGTGCAGACTGCTACTGAGGAATACACAAACGGGCCGAATCCAAATCGTGGGTTTTCAGTGCTATGTGCTGCATCATAATCCCTGACCGACACGCTTTGTCCGCAGAACTTCCATGTTTACGCGGGCATCAACATGTCTCTCGCCAAAAGCTCGTTGACCGTGATCGGGCGCGACGAAAAGTCGGAAGCCAAGTCCTACATGTTCCGGTTCCCTAAAGAGCAGGATGCGCTCGAGTTCAAGGCCACGATAGACAAGCAGCTGCTTTGATCGCTTTTTGTATATCTACCTACGTGCTTTGGCCTCGGACGCATCGACTATTGTGACCTTGTCATAGAATGTCCGTGGCTTTGGACAGAGCTGCACCACCGAGTGTATTTGTATCTCATCAGGTTTTCCAACAATCTGATCTTATCCTGAACACGGCCACGTGACTTCAAACATCGCGGTGAAGCGTTCTTTTTCTACTCTTTCTGAAACCAGGTTGTGTAATATGAGCTTATTCGATCGCTACAAGTGACTCGATCCTACGAAAAGGCTCTAGCAGGGGCAGCTTCCGTTGGCGCAGCAGGCGGGGCTGTTTCTGTTGGCACAGGGAGCGCTGAGGTCAGTATGCGAAGCCAGCTGAGCGCTTCATAGAGTCTCACCCGCAGCTGCTCTCGTTGCAGTTCTAGACTCAAGCAATCAGGACACGTGTCTGCATGCGAGCGAGAGAGATAGAGAGTTGACGACGCACACAGTAGGACGGGTAGCAGCGCTCGCCTCTGTTCTGGATGCTCGTGCCCGCGACGGCGGTGGCAAAAAGTGCAACAACAGCGGTGAGGACAGCGAAACGCATTTGAGGGAAGTAGATCTAGGTAGCTGGGAAGAAATCTGGAGTGCTTCACAAGGACTGCTCTGCATTTATACTATACCGCGGCCGTGCATACGCATCTGCGTATATGCCAACTCACACACAAGCGGGACTAAATCAGAGGGAGAGCATCAAGTGTGCGCTTCTCCCCTCGAAACTGCTTGATGCTCGGAGCCGAATGACTGCCCCCGTGCTTCTTCTCGCCGTCGATTCGATGATTGGCGTGTTATTGAATGGAATAGATGAAACTACATTCGTTTCAACTCCAAATCACGCTCAAGGAATGCCCGTGCGAGATGTCGGGCGGGTCAGAGATGGAGACACAAGTAGCGAGTGTATTGGCCGGGTGACTGACTACTCATCGCTTCTTGTATCGCCCCACTCCTCGAGCGGCCTCATGTCCAATACGCTGGAGCTTCTCTGCATGCATCTCTTTCGCCTTCTCGTTAATCTGCTGCACCTCTTGTGTATCGGGAAAGCCGATAATCCAATAGTCAGGCGGCGTTTTGGCCGGCGTCCACTTCTGTCGATGCCGTGACACAGACTGCTTGTGTGACGCAACGGCTTCGGCGCGAGACAAGGGGAGACTCGGTGTCTTGGGAGGTGAGCGCCATAATGGAGGCTGCAGACGATTCGGCAGCGGTCCAACGGCTTCGTAATACTACCCGGAACATTGTTCAATAGTGTCGTCTCGACTTGTGCAATCGAACATCAGACTCACGTCGCGGCAACATTCACAATCACCCCCGTGCAGTTTGCGCCGCTCGGCTCGGCCACGGACTACTTCATCGTACTGATAATCCTTGCCGTCGTTCTTGGCTGGGTCAATAGCATATTTGCTGTTGATTGTTGCAGTCTTCGAGCTCGACGCGGGCAGATCAGCGCCTTTGCCCTTCCCCTTGTCAGGAATGGGAGTGGAAATCGGTTTGGATCGTGGCGGTGTATTGCCGCTTTCAACGTACAACGCTGTTGAGGGGGAGGCACCAGCTTCACGTGCTGACACGCGCCTCACTTTCCTCGGCGGTGCCTCCTCCGGGTCCTCATCATCAACTGCATTATTGCGTTGGGGATGAGTTTGTGGAGCATCGGCGGCACTGACTGTTCGCGATTTGGGTTTAGAGGCCGGAACTGGATTCGCGATAACTTGTACATGTCAATCAAAGGCCAGAAAGACAATCCATGCGCTCACTCTTGGAATCCACGCAGTTTATTTCTGCCACTGGTAACTGCTGAGATCCAACAGGTGTGTCGGGCTCGGTCTCGGAAGAATCGTTCACGGCATCCTTCGCAGTGATCTGGAGGGCAGGCATCCGCGTGTCGGTCCGCTCCAGAATCCCCACTTCCAACTCTGAAGAACTCGGAATCAGAACTTTGCCCATACTGTATCGATGTTAGCCTGATATTCAACAAGAGGAGTCGGCTGAATAACGCATACTTTGGTTTTATAGGCTGAAGCGCGAAGGCTGCTGCCGCGACGTTGCGATTCCCGCTCTTGGTGCTATTCGTCTGCGACGATGGAGTACCAGAACGTCTAGTACTCCGTCTTTCCGAGGCTTTGGCAGCTACGTTCTCTTTGTCTTGCGCCCTTGCTTCTGGCCATCCCATAAGTCTCCGGTCCAGCTTAGAGGCAACTGCAAGACTCACGAGTATCCAGCTCCTTCATCTTCTGCGTCGTCAGCCGCACAATATACGCCCTCCGCTCGCGAATCTCGAGATCAGATAAGTCGCCCCGCTGGGCTTTCAGCTGCGCCTCGAGCTCCTGGATCTCCTCGCTGCACGAAAATGCTTTAAGACGCTCGAATTTGCGGTAGTCCGTTTTGTATTTCTCCTCGCTCTTGAGCTTCACCGCAAGCAGTTCTGAGAAACGCGTCTGGAGCGCGCGCAACTGGCTTGAAGTCGACGGACCGCCTTCAGGATCAGCACTGCATTGGGTGTGTGTGTGAGCAAGCGTGCGTATCTGCCGCAGGCGTACGAGCCCCGCACCTGGCCCTCATCCCAGCACCAAATCCCTCTTTCTCCGATAAGCCTCTAATCTGGCTCCGCAGCTCCTCGTTCTCCCGCCGCAGTTGACCCAGCTGCGTCTGCAACGCGTCGACCGTGGAAACCAGCTCCCTGTACGGCGTCGGCTCGTCCGCCAGGTCGATATACGCCTGCGCGGCATACGTCGTATCGAAGCCAAATGACCGCGCCAGACGCGTCGCCTGCGTCTCGACTTCGAAGAGCTTGCTGTGCGATGTCTCGATGGCGTCTTGGGCGATGGTCAGTTTGCGCCGCAGCCGCGATAATTCGGACCGACTATCGTCGGAGCCCGATGCGACTGAGGAGTCCATAGTGGGTATAATGCCTTTATGGCTTGCCGATTTGATATACAGGGCACAGTGGTAGCTGAAGTATTAGACAAAGTAGAAGAAGCACAGCCACATAACATTGTCTACTGACACGACATTACATGGCTTATCAACTTCATTCATCAAACTTTTTGAACCTTTCGACTCCTCCCCGATTACCCGGGACCTGTAGAGCGTTAGAGAGCGATAGAACGAGTCCCAAGAAAACGCACATTTCTGTTTCTACAATGGTTGGCATAGTGGCCCTTCTCGCCGCACTACGAGTGATCAGAGGTTGTGCAGGCGGATCGATACACAGAAACGCGCACCTTGAAGCACAACACTTCATCTAGATTCCTCCTCAAGGGCCCATTTGCACCCATGAACGAGCCGCCTGCTTGACGGTCGTGTTCACCGAACTTGCCGCCGAAGCCGGGAGGAGGCGGCCCTTCGAGGGTTGGTGCACTCGGTGCTTGATATGCTTCCGGTGGTGGAAGCCCTGGTTTCGGACTAAACTAGATGAGGGGCCTGGAATTACGTTGAACGACGCAAGGCTTACTGGCCACGAGGACATTCTGGGCCCAACGGACAGAACCCAGTGAGGTACATCTGACAAGCCACGCGACGCACATGTTTGCGAGGGCAGTTGGGGCCTAGGACGCATCCAAGTCAGGATAACAAGACACTACCCACTACGCAAGGAAATCACTCACCCAGCTTACAGAAGCCGCGGTTATAATCTGGGCACTCTACCCGCCGCTCCTTCGGGTGGGCATACAAGCATTCGTCACCTGCAGAACAGTATCCGTACTTTGCGAACCACCAACATTCCGGCATGCGTCTGAGGTTGTATTCGTGCAGGAACTCGCACGCATCGCCCTTCTTGCACAGTCCCCGAAGCCAATGCTTGCAAACTGTAGTAAGACGGGGCTCGCGCGAGTGGGTCGTTGCCTGCTTGGCCGGCTGGAAGTTCAAAACGGACGGTAGTGTGTGTCGGAGGGGACAGTGTAAGGGACCCAGAGGGCATCCGGCTGGTGTGAGCGAGAGTCTGCAGATTTGATCATCTGACAGAAAACCTCAGTCAGCAATATAGCCCGGTGCTGGGACGTATGACGCACCTTTATCCAATTTGACGCCCAACTCCGTCTTAATGTATGGTTCTGAAGAGAAATTATTTTGATGGAACTGCGGGGCAACCACGTCCCTCAGAGACGACGGCCCGACAAGCGGCCCAGAGGACATGACGAGAGAGGAAGGGTCTACGAGTCAAGCAGGGCACCGCTAATGGCAGCACAGATCAAGAGCTGAAAGATCCACGAGTTTGAGCGTACCAGTCTCCGAAGAAAACCAGTATTCACAACTTGAAAAGGTTGTAGAACAAGTCTTCGTCCCGAGTTGCTTCTCAGCGCTGAACAATCTCACTAGGTTCACAGACACAGGTGATAGATTGGTGGCAAGTTCGGTACAGTATGTCATAAGTTCCCACGCTCCTCGACTCTTCCGTCTTCTATAAGTTTCTTGCAATCACACAGTCTAAGCAGTGTACTCCAGGCAAGGCAGCCACCGGGCCGGCTAAAGTCCGCAGCAATATGCATCGCGTTGGGGCTTCAATCCAATCTACCCAATTTCTACATCTTCTCGTCCACCCTCTTGATCGCCAGTGGGGGGGACTGGAAACTCAATCTTCAATGTTGCCGACTGTTGCCAGTCAGCTGGTTTACCCAAGCCCAATATCAGATGAATATATTGCCTCTGTCATCTGTGCAACTTTCCGAGTTGCTGCAACATGATATTCATCAAGCTTCAGCGTATTCTGGACTGGGGTCCAAGTTTATCAATCACCCATTCGCCGACGCGGTCCTGGCTGCCTTTTCCTTCTAGATCAAAGACGAGCTATATCCGACCTACGCAGGATATCGATCACTAAGCACTAGTTCTGGAGCTACACGCCAACGCTTTCCGCTTCCTTGTGGCCACAAACTCAATACCTTCGAGCCCTCTGTGTCTCTGATGAGTGCCGTTTGCTAAGCATGCCCCCCGTTGTCACGAAATCAGCATCGAGCATGACACCTCTGAGCAAGTGCCATATAAAACACGTCTACACTCCTGTAACGAAGTGACGAATAAAACAAGGGTCCGCTCGTATGTCGCGACTCGCAATGAGAAAGATCAGATGTGCAAGATTGTTTATGGGACCCCAAATGCTTCCTCCGCCCTCTTCAGCGTCGATGAGACTTGAGGTGAGCCCGTTCAAGGAACTTTTGAACGCTAGTTTGTCTATCAGCTATCCATCCCATTTTTATGATTATGGATGAGCGTGGATGACACGGACGAAGTGTCTGGGATCTTTAAACCACCTTATGCGGCAATAATTGTCTCGTAACCGTATCACCTAATTCCAGACCGACGGCCTCTACACAGCTTCCAATTAAACCAGACTTTGAGATACTGCACTCCAGAAAATGTGACAAGCACACAGTAAATAGCCGGCGTAAGCTTCTAGACAGATGCTCTGTCGATCACTCAATCATTGATTCAATGATCAATTGTTCGGCAGCTGGTCCGAGTCTAATGATCGAGCGACGCGTGTGCGCTTGCGACGCGTACTCCTACTCATCCATCTACCACTTCTTCATCATGGTTCGTGGACACGATGGCTCACAGCTTTAATCCACTCATTGAAGAGCATTATATAGGCAAGACGATACGATAGCCGCACCACCATCTTCTCCCCAGAAGGTTCGCGCAAAACGTTGCTCGCACTGCACCACAATCCTCTGATGCATGAAACCCGTTCTTCTTCTTCTAGGCAAACTGTACCAGGGTACGCTGCAGCAAATCTAGCCTCTCAGAAATGTCACCGACCCCATCTACTTGAATCGTGCAGTCGAATATGCGATGGAAGCCATCTCGCACGCTGGGACGGTGCTCGGGCTGCTTGCCAAGGACGGCGTGGTGCTCGCGGCCGAGAAGAAAGTGACGGGTAAACTTCTCGATCTGTCTGCGACGAAGGAGGGTGGATACGGGGGCAGCGGCGAGAAGATCTTTCTCTTGAGTTCGTGCGTGGTCCATGTTATCCAGAGACGAGATCGAGACCCCGCGTCGCTCATACAAGTTTGGCAGGAATGTCATCGGCGGTCTCGCAGGTCTGACTGCTGACGCGAACTCGGTGGTCAACTACGCACGAAATGCTGCCCAACAACACCTGCTCTCCTACGATGAGGATATCCCGGTCGAACTATTGGCACAGCGACTGTGCGACATGAAACAGGGATATACGCAATTCGGAGGTGCGTATCGCGTGCCTCTTAGAAAAGTTTATCTGATTCTCAGTCCAAATCTTGCCATCTGCAGGTCTCCGACCCTTTGGTGTATCGCTCCTCTACGCTGGCTATGATCCTCACTACCAGTTCCAACTATATCGTTCAGATCCATCAGGGAACTATTCCGGCTGGAAAGCCACCTGCATCGGCGCCAACAACGGCACGGCCCAGAGCTTGTTGAAGCAAGAGTACAAAGACGACATTGAAGTCAAGGACGCTATTGGGTTGGCGCTGAGGACGATGAGCAAGACGATGGATAGCACGACGCTGGGCAGCGAGAAACGTTCGTCCCCTTCTCTTTCTTGAGACCTGTATATCTCATGGTTACCCACTCAGTCGAATTCGCTGTCTTAACACTGGATCCTGTGACCAAAGAGCCAAAAGCCAAGATCTATCGGCCTGCAGAGATAGATGCGTTGTTGGAGAAGGAAGGTCTGGCGAAGAAGGATGAGGATACCGTGATGAAGCCAGCATAATGTGTATTTTCTTTTGCAAACCATTGAAAGGCGCTCTGTTGTTGTGAATTCCTTCCATTCTCCTGTAAGTCAGTTCTATACAAGAAGTCCCATAGATGACGACTATGTATGCATGCATTAATGGCAGGCCATGCCCTTGGTGTCGTCGCTCAGCAAAGCATCGACGTTGATGGTACCCCCAAAGATGAAATGGCCGAGAGCGGCGCCGAATACAGTGGCGAAGATCAGATATCCCTACGCGGGAATGTTCACCGATGCACGAGGAGGAATAGTCGAAAGGCAACGTACGTTGTAGGTCATAAAGACCAGCATCAAAAAGAATGATAGGAAGACGGTTGCACCGTACAGAGAAGCGCGCAGGACGCGGAGCATTGGTGGGACGGGGGTCCTGGAGGTAGTGCGGTAAGCGCACCCATGTCTAGCAAGGATTGAACCAGTAATCACCCCGTGGTATGAATGTTGAACACTCGTCGACCTGTCAACAAGCCAGCGTCCTCATCTAGTCATCCCGGCCCGTTCAGCCGCTGCGTGGGCGGGCCACTCTCCGAGACACGCACCATCACTTCTCGGCCTGCTGCTCGAGCGGCTCTTGCCCTTGCCCGGTCCAGCCAACGCAAGGGCGATGCGCACATCCACGGACTTGGCGAACGCGCGGAGATACTCGTAGAACACGGCCAGCGCGACGATGGCAATGCAGGACCCCAGGAACATGGCTTGCGAGCGGATGTGCCACGACTCGAAGACGATACAAGTGTCGACGATCTGGGTGTTCCTTCGTAGGCGATATCAGTTCGGTCGTGGGCGCGGGGAACGCTGTTGGTCGCACCAGAGCATGTTCATCGAGCACCGGACCGCGGGCATGTTGTGCCCATCGTGGCCACCGTGCCCGCCGTGGTCCATATCCATGGAGTGCATACTGTGGTCGTGGTTCATGGTAGAGAAGGTGATCAGTACGCAGCGACCCGCCGGTGATCCGGCTGCACGGATACATGACAACTCTGTCTGCTCTAGCTACGCTCACGAGACTTGGTTTAGTGCACTTCTCCGACTTCTATTCATCGTTTCATTCATGTGCGGTAATTACACCTCGGCCAATATACGAACCAGGATGTCCTTGACAGTGATCCTGGTCCCAGCTTCGATGACCTCCACACTATGCTCATCATCGACCAAGGGATAGACTGCACTCGCCAGCAACTCCTCACGGGGCCCATTCCGCACCCGCAAACGATGCGTCATCACCCGCGGAACTATCCGGGCGATGTCCGCCTCGCTGACCTCCAGAACCTCCTGTTCGCCTGTCCTTCCCGGCATCCCCGTCAGGGCCGATGGCACAATGGACTGTTGGTCCGCGTCTTCGATGACGACTTCCACAGGCTGGTAGACATGCTGTTTGCTGTCGGTCTGCTCGGGCCATTCCGGGCTTTCCGGGATGTCAGGCGAATCGAAGATCTGATTCTGCGCAGGCTCGCTTCCCTGCAACGCGAGGAAAGCAGCGTCATCCCTGACAAGCTCGATTCCAGTCAAGTCTGCGCCGACGACCCGACCGGCGCGGGCCAGGTCGGTCGCGTCCTTCATTGACTGCGCTGTGAGGCACATCCCATCTAATTGAGGATGATGGCGAGCAGCAGAGAACAGATCCGACGCATACAGACTGAGCGTAGGATTCAGATACGTCCGGGAATACAGCGCCCGCAGGTCGGTCAGGAACGACGAGGAGACGAGCGGAAAGGCAAGTGAGGATAGCGAGTGGTGATGCTGCAAGGATTTGGACTGTGTTGGGGCTGTCGGTGTTTGCTGCGGCAGGGCAACAGGGTGCACGGCAGGGGAATTCCGAAACGAGGCTGAATTACGCGTTTGAGTCAGCAGACTTCGCGTCGCAGCATGCGGGTTCACAGTAGCGCTCATAGCAAATTTGTCCAACTAGAGGAGCGTTAGCGCGGCGCTACCAATACAAAGGAACGGCACTGACCAGATTCTTATGGATGGCAGGTCGCTCGTGGGGATCCACAGGACATACATAGACCGTGATGAATCCCTCCGGCAGATTCCAGACCTCGTCATACACATCGTCCTCTTCTTCCAGAACGACCCGTTTCTCAGCCAGCACGCGCGTGAGTGCACGTTGCGAGGACAGCGCCGAGTTTTCTAGACCAGATACTACCAGGGCGCTTGGCTGCATCCCAGAGGGCCGGCTATCTCTGACTGGGGTAGGATCAGAGATGGTGTGGGGAAGGGGGAGGCGTGTCCGTGCTGAGCGTGGCGTGGTAGCGAAAGGATTCGTCGTGGTGCTCGATCCCGAAAACGCCTCGTGATTGTCACTGAACGGATTTGAGCTGAGTGTCGCGGCGTCCGCTGGGCTGGACATGGAGCGCCGACTGGGCTTCTTGGTGGTGCTCCGAGCCCATGTCGCGTGGTTGCGAGTCCTGATGGACGATTTCGCGTCATCTTGAAAGTCGGAAGCGGTAGTCCATGGAATGAACAGAGAGCGTAGAAATGGCGTTCCCGCGTCAATTTGAGTTGCGGGACTCCTGGGTCGAATCTTGACCTTGTGAGTCGGCAGCCCAAAGACAGTGGATAACGTCTTGAAGCAAGATTGACCTCCCTTTGAGCAAACAGCAACCGCGAATCATTTCATCCGACTCACGAAGAAGGCGAGCCTGACCACAAGCCGCACGTCCTGTTCTGGAGCGCGAAGGAGGAGGTGCTTGTCCCCGGCAACTAAACACAGGAGGATGGATTGCACGACGACAGGGTCGATGGGTAATGTAGGCGCCGAGCTCCGGAGGTGAGAAAGGAAGGCAGGAAAGAAGGTTGGTGTGCCTGCGACGAGGTTATTGGCGTCAATGAGATCCATTAGGGTATGATCGACGCATTTGCACAGCGTCTGCTGGTAGAAGGAGCCAATGTGTGACGGGTGGCTGTACAAGCCGCCATCAGCGGCTGTGTAATTCAACTTTGTCCCAGCCGCTCACATTGCCCAATAAGCCTCCAGGGCCCCAGTTTTGGTGAACCATGTCCGTCCGTCGATATAAATGACTCATGGTCAGCTGGGTCTCAACTCCGTATGGTCGATCATTGCCCGTGATTCTACTAGCATGGCATCACCCGCCACAGATGAGAAGCTACTTCGTCGTTGGCCAACCACTGCGGAGGATATTCGCGGCGGTGACAGCCGCCTTGAACTTGCGACATGTATAATCAACACGAAAGGCGCCACTCAAGGGACTTGTTGCTACCATCTGTCAGGTTGGACTGGGAGCGGCGGCTTGGCTCTACCGTGCATTATGCTTGTTGCTGGTTTTGAACGCCGATGGACAGCCCAGCTGACGTGCAGATGGTGGACATCCTTCCGCATCATCCAAAACTGATCTCAGCGCCGCAGAGCAGCATGCAGGAAGATCTGCGTGCGATTACCACGGACAGGCATGTGGAGGCTCACTCAGCACTCACTTTGTGGTGAAACTTGACCAGTCTCTTGCTCAATTGCCTACTTGATCTGTAGGTCGGAGTGCAATTCAATCTCGCTTCGAGTATGTGTTTGGGACGGCGCGCCCAACGTGTGTGCGGGAGTCGGAATATATAAACCCCAGAGCTTGATTATCTTGATCATTGTCGCACAACACGATGTGCCAGCGAGATCAAGATGGAAAGGCAATGCGGGCAACATGTAGGACCGGGTTCCGGCGCTCAGAGGGCGGCGATCTCTCAAATTGCACACACAGAAGCGCTAGCAGCCACATTGGCCCTTGCAACCGGAGTGATTGATGAGAAAAATAGATGGAGGTTAACAGGATCGACACGAGGCCAGCAGTTCGTCAGCGAGTGCAGAGCAAGACTAGTCTAGCCACACACGGGTCAGCAGAAATTGCGGACGTCCGTAGGTCCGATCCAGAGGTGCCCGATTTAGCCAATTGAACACCTCTCATTTTCCCTCGGTTCGATTCGCACTGAGATCCAGCAGCCTGTGTTTCTTGGGTCGATTCAGAGACATAACCGACTGAAGCTCGTTGCGACGCCCCAGTGTCTACCTGCCCGTCGGTGTGGTAAAACCTGCCATCGAGGGAGAAGGGATCGTCTCACAGGGTTCACCGTGCCGGGCCTAGTGTGAATGGAATTGTATTGTATTGTATGGGGTGGATCCATGTAGTTAATTATGTAGGCTAGTGCTAGTCGTCTGCTGTATCACCCCTGAGTCGCAAGATACGGTTTATGCGATTGGGCACGACTGGGAGAGCACCCTCACGCTGGATGTCCCACGGACAGGCAGCCCCAACGACCCACACACGACGGCACTAACGAAAGAGAACTGTGCGCAATTCAGCCGACCGTCCACCCTTTGGGCTCCCAGTATCCGCATCAGGATCGGCCCTTTCGGGGGTATGTGGCGACCGCCAGAGCCTCGAGTTCGTTCGTTACTCAAGTGCGTCACGGGACATCCCGAGCCTGACTTGATTAGATGTGATTTCCATCGTAACAGCATCCGTATTACGGACCGTGCCTATCCGTGCACGCCAAATGAAAGAGCCTGATGATCCATGGAAACTTCAGCTATCACATTTACATACATACGGCTTGGCCGCACACGCTTCACACCCCCCTCTCCCCCCGCGACTGTCTTGACGACTCCGAGCGCGGGATCTGGCAGGCCAACTACGTTCATGATCAATGAGCAACGTAGTCCAGTTCTCGGTCGACGATTCTAGCCCCACCATCTCTTACTTTCCCTTCGGCGACACCTTGACTGGTTCCCCGGATCTCACTGCTGGCTGGAATCCTTCCAGAGGAGGTGATTTGGGGCTTTCAGATCTCGCTTCCGGTGCGGGTTCGGGGAAGAGTCTGCATGTGACGAGTCTCGACGGAGCGGCGTTCCAGGTTTCGTGGAAAGGTACGTGCTCGGCTTGGCTCTCGCTCTCGTTTCATGCTCATCACGGACGCCCTGCCGTCACAAGGCACTGGCATCACACTTTATGGAAACGCCACACATTCGACGTACACTATCGCGGTCGACGGGAGCACTCTGGATGCATCCTCCTCCGCCGACCTCGCCAACGGCGTCCTCGCAAGCATCGGCCACCTTCCGGACCTCGAGCACACACTCAGGCTGGTGGTGCACGCGCAGGACACGACCGCGATCGTCGAATTTGATCGCGCAGAGATCTCGGCACCCGTGTCCCCCGCGAACATCTCGACGTGAGACTTTTCCGTTGGCGCGCAGCGCGCGCGTGATACGGCGATCTGATCATCTTTATTGCGAAGCTCGAGCCTGTCTGACCAGTTTCTGGACGACACGACCGATTTCGCGTTCCACGGGCAATGGTCCTTTGCGAATGGCTCCCACCAATCTACCACCGCGGGAGACAGTGTTTCGATTGGCTTCAAGGGAACGACTTTGGTGCTCACCGGCTCGACATCGCCTCTTGCGGGACGGTGCGTGTTGCCGATTGACCGACGTCTATGGGAAGCTCAAGAACGTCTGCAGATACTCTGTGACGTTGGATGGCAATTTAACCACCTCCTACTCTGCTCAGTCCTCGTTGACTGACGGAAACTCTATTCTATATTACGCGTCGGGACTGGATGCCACTGTTGCGCATAATGTGCAAGTTGTGAACACGCAAGGTTCGGCACTGGTGCTGCAGGCTCATGGAGCGCAGGTGTTCGGGATCTCTGGCAGGTGTGTGCTCAGTTTCTGTCCTCGTCGCTCATCCTGAATTCGCGGCTAGTGGGACTGAGACCAACAGCTCCTCGCCAGTTATGGTCCTGTCAACCAAGGCAGAATCCGATTTATCCAGTGGGACTATCGCTGCTCTCGTGCTAGCCGGAATCCTGCTCTTTTTTATCATCACCCTTACAGCGCTCTATTTTATGATATATCGCCCTATGCGTCGGCGACAGACACAAGCCAAGGCTGTTCCTGACCAGGAAACCGCCAGCGTTCTCGTCCTCGATATCACACGACCCGGTTTTCTCAAGAAGTCTTTCTCGTACGAAGATGAATCGATCATCGAGGCGGGGCCGTCTAGGCGGAGTGGATTTCTAAGGTGGAAGGAGGACGTCGAGGGCGGGTTGGGCAGCTTGGGGCGGGGTGCCCTGGGGATTGTGTTCCGGCACTCCGATTCGTCGGGATCGAGACGCCCGTCGGCAGCTGGAACGCTCTCGTCTCGCGGCCGAGAATCTTCGTCCGAAGGCCCCAAAAGCACGGCATCTTCGGGCCATGCCAGCAAGGGGAAGGGACGTGAGACCGGCAAATGGAGTTGGGGCAGGGAGAAACCGCTTCCAGCGCGATCGCTCGTACAGCTCCCGCCAGACCCTGCACGGGAATCCCATCTAGCTCCGTCGGGGATATCCTCGCTCTCGTACTTGACGGGTCCTATCTCGCCCATTCCAGCAGTCGTTCCGCCAGACTACCGCGCGTCATTGCCCCTCGCAGTGCCGCAACCGCCGTCACCACCGGCCGCATCCCCCGGACTCGACGACCGAGGGAGCGTCCGACAGGTCGACGCGGATGACCACCAGAGTGTTCTGGGCGACGGCACTGCGCGAATTGCCCTGCGGAGCCTGAGTCCACGGACCAGCGAGACCCTGGACGCTGTCGCTCCCGCCGCCAAACCACGCAAGAAGAGGCGCAGGAAGGACAGCGACGGCCTCGCAGCGGACACTCCCACGGTCGCCCTGCGGACGACCAGTCCCTTCCACGTCGACTTTGACGGGGGCGACGAACGTCGGAAATCGAACCAGTCGCGTGTGCGCTTTTTTTCGAAACAGAAGGGGGACTCGTCCAGCGAGAGCCAGGGCCGCACGCGAAACAAGGGCCGCCGCCGCCGCCTGCACGCGCTCGAGGCGTCGTTCCTCGACTTCGCCAGCTCGTCGGACGGGTCGACGATGACGCGCTCGATCGACCATTCGTCCTCGTCGTTTTCCGCCGGCCCGGCGTCGCACTGGAGCATCGGCGGTGCATCGAGCAGCATGCTCCCGACCGCCCCGCCGCAGACGCAGACGCAGACGCAGGGGCTGACTTCGCGATGGAGCGCGACGACGGCCGCGCCGAGCACCGAGGCGGCCGGCGCAACCGCCGATTCATCCGCCGACTCGTTTCCGTTCCCCGTGTCGATGCCGGGGTCGCCCGAGGGGCAGCGTCTGAGCAGCCTCAACGCGCACCCGTATGGCTTGGGCAGCGACGATGTGACGTCGCTGGCGGACAGCCTTCCCGTGTCCATTTCTGAGATCTGCTTCAGGCCCGGGCATGCCAGCAGCAGTGTTGGACACCCGCCGTTGCCTGAGGCACCGCAGCCCCCGGGCTCGTCGTTCATTGTGCAGCGGGTCCTGGGGGCGTCGTTCCTGCCCAGCGCAAGCTCGGCGCCTAATCGGATATAGCCGCCACCCTCCTTGTTTCTATGATCATCCTGGGACTTGAGTATTGTACTGCTAGGACTTTATTGTGTACGACTAGTGTACGGAAAGGACACATCAGTCATATGTTGATACCATCAACCGCACCTGATGGGCAGGCACACTTCAGAGCGGCCCCTGCGTGTCTCGTCGCAGTCCAAAGCTGACAAATCTCCTCAAGTCAGAGAAGACTTGTCGCTGGTCCCCGCCGCCCCCTCTCTCCGAGATAGTCGTATTCCCGGTCGAGGGTCCACTCGGTCCCGGCGACGAGAACAGCCCGGTGCTGTCTGGGTTTGGGATCACGCCGCTGAGAGGGAGAGACACTCTGCTGGCCCCCGGGCTGGCCATGTTGCTCGCAAGCTGACCCACCGGATCCATGTCCAGCGCGGACAGGAAAGACGTGCTGTCGAGATCGTCGTGGGTGCTCGTGATCGTCAGGAACGAGTCCAGCAGATTGTTCTGCTCGGCTTTGGGGGTCCCTTTCAGGTCGAGGATCTTTTGGAAGTTGGAAAACGAGGCATCTTTGACGAGGAGGGTGTAGCTCAGAATGAAGCCTTCTGGAGGATCCTACATCTAGTCAGCAAACTACACTCGTCGAGTCGGCGAAAGAATTACCACTGGCGTAACAATCACTTTCAGCAGAGTTTCCAGCTGATCCGTGCTTTTGGTCACGCTCTTGGTATATCTGTAGACCATGAGTGTTTGCTCTGTGGTGATACTGCGCCACCACGCACGTCGTTGTCACACTATCACCTGGGAGTTTGAGTAAACACGCCTTGACCGGTTTTAGATCGATCATGAGCTGGAAACATACGTCAGTGAGCCATAGAGGTTAGAGGTGGATGTCTCACCTGCTCGGCTCCAATCTCTCTCAGCGGTCGACTTCGAACCAAAGCATTTGTAAACTTGGCCAGAATCAAGCTGCGAAAGTGTCAGAATGCTAACAGGAGCTCATCAGGACACAAGGCCAACAACAGACCTGCAGGCTTTATCCAGGTAGTTCCTCAGATACTTCTTCTGCTCGATGAGTGGCCTGACACAGTCGGTCACTTGCTCGATCGCGCTCGTCAGGTCGGCCACGTAAGCTGACTGGCTGGCGACCTGCTGCAGATTTGACCAGGGAGACCGCGTCATGGCGGCGAGCGCCGGCTCGCAGGCTATCTCCAGCTCCCGCAGTTGCACGACGATGGCAGCTGAGATAACACTACAGTACGTTGAGCCGTGATACAGCACGACGCACGGCACGCATCACTACTGACCTCAGAAATTGATCGCGCTCTTTCTGGAACGATATCTTCTCCTTGAACTCCGTGTTGATTTGCCGCTGAATCTTCTCCTCGAGCTCCAGCGCGGTGGTCTGACAGTAGTCCGCCGTGTTGATGATCAGCGCCGACTGTCTCAGTTCATTCGGCTCGTAGCGCGATTCCGTCGACTGCCGCGGTTGCTGTGGGTAAGACGGCCGTTTGAGCCCCGCAGTCAGAACCTCCTCTGAGAAACGATCAGCTTCAGTTGGGCCTGCGCGTCCAGACCTACCGGCGTAGATTCGCAGCCACTTGCGGTGCAGGTTGCAGAGGTCGAAGAGCGGTTTTCCGGTCGACAGCTTGGCGCATTGTTCCAGGCTCTGGCCGTAGAAGTAGAACAGCTCGGTCGAGGAAGGCAGCACGACCATAGGTGATTCGCTCTTGCTTTCGTGATCGACTGATCCGGGATCGGTTTCCAGCGATGGGCGTGGGGAGCGACCCAGTCTCCCTCTCCTGTGAGGTGCAAGCATGTCTGACAGTGCTCTGCAGACCATCCTCAGTTCACGCGATACTGCTGACGTGCTACTAACCTGTCCTGAGCGTCGACAAACACTCCCATGTGCGGCTCAAAAGCCGATGTCATCGTCTTGGGTGGCGCCGAGTGGCTCTGAGCTGTCGCCTTAAGGATGTCTGGGAACTGGATAGTGTCAGAAGGACAGCACGTCTCACATCATTTTACCTACCGGGGTGGACCATTTCTTTGCCATGGACAGCTCAAAGTCGGCGGTGAGTTGTAAATTGTCCAGGAGGGTTTTGACAGATAACGCGGTGCCCATTTTGGACAACAACCCAGTGAGATCCTCGCTGCGAATAGCCGTCGTCGTGAGCAACCTGTCTCTGTCCCGATGAAGAACGTACCGCGTGACCTCTGCGAAGCGGGAGAGAAGGAACCAGCCGACTTTCCACTCGGCTGGGAAGACGCGTCCCTGTTCAGCCTCGTGTGTTTGCAGGCAGCGCCGGAACCAAGCAAACCGCCGCGAGATGTTGTCCAGCTGCCCCGCTTCGTCTGCGGTGCGGAAGATCCTCCGATACTCCTTCAACTCGATGGAGACGTAGCGCTCGATGGTCTGCGCTCGGACATCTGGACCGAGGACGTCGACCACCTGGCAGGCGTCCGCGATGAGGGATGGTTTCACGGGTCTCGCGGGATCCTGGAGGTAGCTGGAGCGAAGTCAGCTTCAGATTGTTCTGAGCGTCAGGGTGACTTGCAAATCGTCAAAGTCTTTGTCGAGAGCGGCGCGTATCTCGCCCTGCATTTCTTGTATCCGTGTCCAAACCTGGGATATCCGTTTGATCGAGGTGTATTGCTTGAACGAAGCTGAGATTTGCTTGACTGCCTGCGAAACGTCAGCTACAGTGCATGTGGTTTCAGAGAGCATAAGCCCACAGCAAGGGACTGCGCGACATCCGCGTACTTGCGCTCCTTGATGTAGTCCTCCAATTGTGTTAACGCATTTACTGGCCCGTACGTCAACCCAAGCGAAGGCTGGAATGAAGTCTGCGAGAGCTCACCAAGCATCTGCAGCCGCTTCAGCGTCGTCATACTCAGAATCAAGTTCCTCTTCGCCAGGTCGAGCACTTGGATGTCTTGCGTGATGTTCCGCACGACGGCCTCCGACTCGGTCGCCTTTTCGCGTATAGTAGCCATTTTCCCGAACAATTCCTGGCCACAGGTCGTCGGAATTCAGCTCGAACCCCGAGGTGGGGCACCGTACATACCGAGATCATCTCCTGTATGAGATGCATCCGTGCGGGGTCCTGGTTCTTCTTCAGCTCCGCCTGCAGACTGTCGATCTCGCGTTGCAATTCCAGCTGCGTATCCGCCAGCCGGGTCTGCACAGCCGCGATGTTCGCCAGGGACGCCTCTGGACCGACCGACCGTGCGCGTCAAATCCTTCGTTTGCAGCAGTTGCGGCGCGAATGCGTACCGTCGGGAAAGAAATCATTCAGGAGCGGGACGGGGTTGAAGTCGTTCGAAAGCGTGTCGAGGGGGTCGTTCGCTGAGCTCGGTTCAAGTTCTAGGACGCGCTGAATCGCGAGAACCACTTCATGTGGCAATTCGTCGTGGTGCATTGATGAGTGGTCAGACCGGGCCGGACGGAACAGATCATGATATCCTCGGCAACCTGCTAGTGAATACACTACTTACTGTACTCTCATCTAGACAAGCCGCCAACAGTAGACTATGACTGTGACTCAACCATGAGGGCTCTCGAGTGAACCCTGCGCCTGAACGCACCCATTTCAGCCTCAGGCCACACGGAGACCGGAAACCCAGCGCTGGAGCTGCTTATATAAGCGCGTGGGCGCGCCACGCGGCCCCGCGCAGCTTATCGCTGTGCGCAGCCTGCTCAGGGTTGAAAAGAACTACGTTTTCACCACTATTTAGCGGGGGCGCCGACAACAACCCCCGCAGTTTCTTCCCAACGCGCACCATGCCGCTACAAAAAGGCGGAATGCCGCGCCTATTCGCGCTAGTGCTGACCCTCGGCCTCGCCGCCCTTCTACTCTCGTGCAAAACCCGTCAGCAGCCACCATCTCACGCCCGATCGACCAAGCGCCCCGTCCCCGCCCAATGTGCGGCGATTCTCGCGCCACAGTCTCCCGCGTCGAGCTATCCCGCGCACCGGCAGCAGTCCGACCGGTACGTGCGCGGCACGCGGCCTGTGCTGCTCCGGAACGCGACGCTATGGACGGGGCGCGACGAGGGGCGCGAGGTCGTGCGCGGCGCGAGCGTGCTGCTCGACCGCGGGCTCGTCGTCGCGGTGCTGGCAGAGATTCCCGACGCCGCGCGCCTGGCGGAGACGTGGGGCCTGCCTGCGGGGCTGCTGGATGTGGTGGACGTGCACGGGAAGTGGGTCACGCCGGGGATGGTCGACGCGCACTCGCATCTGGGGGTGCGGAGCGCGCCGCAGCTCGTTGGTGTGTATCTCGTCGCCGCGCGCGCGGATGCGGTGCATTCCTCTGACTGTCCTGCTCTTTCTTAGGCGCGTCGGACACCAATTCGGTCAAGGCCCCGATCCTTCCCTGGCTGCGGAGCGTGGATGGCCTCAACACCCACGACGATGCGTATCGCCTGACCATGTCGGGTGGTGTGACGACGGTGCAGGTTCTCCCTGGCAGTGCCAACAATATCGGTCCGTCTGGGGTTAAATTTATTGAAAAGAGACAGACATTGAATGAATGGGCAGGCGGCCAGGCGTTCCTCATGAAACTGCGACCGACGGCGGAACGATCCACATCGTCCATGCTGCTCGAGCCTCCTGCAAACCTGCACATCAACGACACCAACCTCGACAGCCGGCCGAGATGGCGCCACATGAAGTGCGAGGCAAACTCCAATTCTAACAAGGCACAGAATTCGTGCTGACGCCGCCTATTCAGGCATGCCTGCGGCGAAAATCCCATGCGACTGTACTCGCAAACGCGTATGGATGCCAGCTGGAACTTCCGGCAAGCGTACAACGAGGCCCGCAAGATCCGCGATGCACAAGACGCGTTTTGCGCCGCGGCCGAACAGGGATTGTGGGATGGAGAGACCGCGTTCCCTGAGAGTCTGCAGTGGGAATCACTGGTCGATGTTCTGAGAGGTCTCGTCAAGGTGGGCCTCAATGTGTGTGTGCGCTCCGGATCTTTGTCTTAACCTGCGGTTCAGATCTCGACCCACTGCTATGAAGTTCGTCGATTCCAACACAATTACATGTGATGCAGATAGTGACTGCGATTTTCCAGCCGGTGGACTTGGACTCTCTGATCCGCGTCCGTGTTCCTCTCTGTCCTTCCTCCTGTTCATTTTTTCATCCAAGTAACAGCTATCCAACGAATTCAAGTTCCCAATCGCGTCCATTCATCACTCGACTGGCACCTATCTGGTCCCCGACCTGCTCAAGAAGGCCTGGGGAGGGCCTCCAACGATCGCTGTCTTTGCATCGGACTACAGGTGGGGAGAGCAGTCCTTTCTTCTCACCAGGACACACTCAAAGCCTGTCACAGACCCAAGCGCGAAACATACCGGACCTCCGAGTTTGGCGCGCGGATTTTGGCGGACAACAATCTGACGGTGGTCATCAAAGTTCGTCGCACCCGTTTCGTCTGCTGCTCCCGTTTATAGTACCCTTGCTCGCAGTCCGACCACTTTGTGACAGACTCGCGGTTCCTGATGTTCGAGGCGCAGCAAGCGTACTACTTTGGACTCAGCGGCGCGCTCACCCTATCCGCTGTGACGACGAAAGCCGCCGCTTCTCTGGGAGTGGAATGGCGCGTAGGAACAATAGCAGAAGGCGTGTCGCCACGCACTGCACCCTTGATTGAGTGCTTACCAGCGGCCAGGATACGATGCCGATATCGTTGTGTGGGACTCGCATCCCTTGGTGCTCGGTGCGATTCCAGAGCAGGTCTACATCGACGGCATCCCGCAGATCGACACGCCGTTCCTGTCGCCCAAGTCCGAGGCTCTGCAGCAGGCGCCCAAGACGCCGAACTGGGACAAGGAGACGGCCGAGACGCTCGCGTCCGACGGGCTTCCGCCGCTCGAGGGTCGACTGACCAGCGGCCCGGTCAAATTCATCGGCGTGAAAAGCCTGTGGAGGAAGGACGCGAACGGCACCTGGGCTGAGCACGTCGCCGGTGACGAATCCAGCTTCAGCGTGATCGTAGAGGACGGTAAGGTAGTGTCACAGTGCAGTTCGGCCTGCGCGCTCGATGCCGAGACCGTCGTCGACCTGGAAGGCGGGTCGCTCGCGCCCGGGCTGACCTCCTTCGGGTCGTATCTCGGGTTGAGCGAGATAGAATTAGAGCCCTCGACGATGGACGGGTGGGTGTTCGATGAGCTGTCGCCTGACGCGCCGCCCCCGCGTGTCCTGGGCCACGCCGTCGTCCGCGCCGTCGATGGGCTGCAGTTCGGCGGCCGCCACGCTCTGTGCGTATCAGCTGTCCTCACTCCCTCGACGGCCGCTGACACAGCACCGCCAGACTCGCCTACCGGGCCGGCGTGACGATGGGCATCACCGCGCCCATGGGCGACTTCACGCGCGGCCTCGGCGTCGCATTCGACTTGGGGGCCAGCAACGCCGTCGACGCTGGAGCCGTCGTGCAGGCGGAGACGGCGCTGCACGTCGAGGTGACGCTGTCGTCGGGCCTCAGCGTCAGCACGCAGATCGCCGCCCTGCGCCGCTCCCTGCGCAGCGGCGACGGGCCGTGGGCCCGGGTTAGGCAGGTGAGCTTTGGGTCTCGGTTTCAGTTTCGTTTTCGGCCGCGCTGACCGTGCATGCTCAACAGGGTGAGATCCCGGTGGTGGTCATCGTGCACAGCGCGGATGTGATGGCGACGCTGCTGGATCTCAAGCGCGAGATCGAAGAGCGCACGGGGCGCGTCCTGCGCATGACGTTCGCCGGGGCGCTCGAGGCGCACCTGCTCGCTAAAGAGATCGCGCAGGCCGGGGTCAGTGTCGTCATCGCCCCGGGGAAACCGTTCCCAGCCATGTTCGAGATGCGCAGGAGGTGAGGACCAGGGTTTTCATTGCACGCACCTCCCACCGCTGACCCCGACCACGAAGCATCCCCGGCCCTCCGCTCACGCAGGACTCGTCGTTCACCATCCTGCTCAAGCACGGCGTGAACGTCGGGATCGGCATCGAGCAGGTGTACCTCGCGCGCAGCGCCCGGTTTGACATGTCCATGACGCAGGTGAACTCCGCCGGGGTCATCGATCGCGCGACAGCGCTTGCGATGGCGTCAACCAACGTCGACCGCGCGCTCGGCTTGGAAGCGGAGAGGCGCACGGAGGAGCTCGTTGCGTACCGCGGCGGCGGGCTGTTCGACATGGCGAGCAAGGTCGTCGCTGTCGTTTCCGAGCGGCGTGGGACGGTGGTGCAGTTCTAGCTCATGTCGTCCCGCACGGACATGCACGCGTTGTCCATATTATTTTATTAATATACGTACTCGAGTACACCACGTCAGTAGTAGTGAGGGGTGGGGGTATGAGTGATCGGATTCCCGGCGTAGTCCCAGCCGTAATTAGGCGTGTACCTGTGAGTGTGCAAGAGTCTGAGCGAGCCAGTCGACCAGATCAATCGGGCGGACGCACGTGTAAGGCACGGACGGCAGCGTCTCGTCGTGCACCATCGACATCTGTTCCAGGAACCACACACTAGTATCCGGTCTGGAGTCCCGAGTCTGGAAGAAATCGGACGACGACGCAGCGCACCCGAGATCCGGCGGCACCCACGCCGTGCCACCATTCACATCCTCCTCCCCACCACCACCCCTGCTGCCGCTGCCGCTGCCGCGCGCCCCGGCTTCGAACTGGTCGCTCGCGAAATTGACATACGGCGCGAATGCTGATGACGCGTAGTACGGGTCCGTTATCCGGAACGGCGCATAGATCGGATTCGAATCGCCCTCGACGCCGTCGTCCGTGAAAAACCGCGCCCATTCCGCGATCGTCTGCAAAACGTGAGCACTCCTTCAGACGACAGAACCAGCAACGTGCGTACGGCAGGATCGGCGCGCTGGTGGTCTTGCTGGGGCACAGCCCTGTTCGGGCTGGCGTGAATCATTTCGCCTGCGTGGATCAGTCTGTTCAGCATGTCGCTAGGAGAGAGAGAATGATCAATCGGGAGCGCGGGCTGAAACAGAGATGAGATTACGCGAGTCGGCCAGCCACCAGGAATCTAGGCGCGTGGAGTCAGCCCGGATCAGCGGGCGAAAGACAACATGGGTGCAGCAGACAGACTGACCGGTCCTCCGATATCCACATGAGAGCCAGGCACGCCCGGGCGGCCTCCAAGTCCCGGGCGGCATTCGACTCCATCCCAGTCGCTTTGTATCGCCACGAGTTGAGCATGAGCACGATACCACACGTAAACAGCACGGGCTGCAGCACACCCCGTCTCAGCGCGCAGTCAGGCCGAGGGACAGCCATCCGGTGCTCACCATGAAATGAAGATGGAATGGAATCTTGCGCCTGTCCATCGCTGTAATCACGCGCAGGCACGAACGGGCGGCGTTGGAGCAGATGCTCGCGGACGGCAGCGCGTTGGCATCTGGCGGCTTCGACGGCCCTGGAATGAATGGTCGGTGGGCGCAGATCTGCACGCTGTAAAACACTGCCGTCTCGTGAGACGACGACCGGGGAGATAGACTTATCACCGACTCGTGTACAACAGGGCAGACTGCCGGAAATGTACCGGATTCGGGCGATCGGGATCCCACTTGACTGTGTGCGATGTAATGAGCAAGTGCTCCTTCCGTCAGCCGGAAACGCTCACGATGTTCAGGGACTGTGGACATCCACCCGTTGAGATAAGAGTCGAATGTGGCCAGCACTTTCGCGTCCGACGACGGCAATGGCAAGCCATACAGCTTTTTTGGTGCACGAGCAGCGTACTAGCAAAGTATATGCATGTCTGAACAAAAAAAGCTTACGAAGGAACGCACGATCGTCGTTGTGACAGTCGCCTGGATGTCCATGAGCTTGATTAGATGGGAAAAATACCTCATGCGTGATGGCTCGTTCTCCGGCTGCTTGAACTGGTCGGGGCCAGGCGCGGCCCAGTATTCGTCGTCGCATTCGATCGGCAGTTCCTGGTCGAAACTAGAGACACATCAGTCAATTGGAGCGACGATCGTGGAGCACTTACTCGGCCGAGAGCAACGAGATGGGTCGTCCTGTGACCGTTCCTGAGAGCCATTCGATACATGATAGCATCCTGCGATGTTGGTCAGTGACAATCTGATATGAACCCGAGAGAACAGGCCCCATACCAGAAAACTCGCTTCCAGCTTTCATTCTCAGCGGTGGGACCTGCTTGGGACGATCGTCGATGCGCTCCGACCTGCTCAGGCGCGAGTCAGGCCTAGAAAGCAGAGACACTGTCACGGGTACGCACATCGAGAGCCCTCCGGATCCCGAATCCGATCTGCGTCCAGGTCCCCGCAGACGGCGTGATGACGAAGAGAAACAGAGACGACAGCACGATCGCCTGGAGCTCATACAGATCGGGCTTGAACACCAGATGCTTCGTGATCACGTGGACCTGCAATGCTCAGATCGACATCCCCCTCCTCCAGATCCACACAGGCCACGCCACGCACCTGACAGTGCCACCGCCAGCCTGCAGACTGAAAGTCCGTGCCGCCCTCCAGATTCACGCGGCAGTCGTGGGAGTGCCGCGCGCCGAGGCTGCACACGAGCATCAGCGTCGCGCCCCATTTGTGGTTGTGCCGGTGCAGCCCCGCGGCGAGATGCTCGCGGAACGTCGGCTCGTGAAGCAGCGGCCAGTACGGATTCACGTGCTCGAAGAACAGATCGACCAGGGACACGAGCAGATCCGCGTCCGGGTACGCGTATTCTGGCGGTGGGTTGGCTTGCCCTGTGGGCTGGCTCCACTATTTCGATGTCGGTCCGGATCAGGTTGGTGGTGATGGTGGTGGTGCAAGACGGCCGAGACGTACCGGCGCTGGAGTCCAGAACTCGTTTCTCTTATGCGGCAGGAGTGAGACCTGCACCCCCGGCTTGATCATGCCCGTGCGCCCCGTCGTGAAATCGAGCGCCGTCTGGAGCAGTTGGATGCTGCTGCACACGCACACACGCACACAAAGAGAGAGAGAGAGAGAATCGTCAGCACACCCTTGCTCTCCTCCATGGGCGTACCGGTTGACCTAGATTTCCCGAAATGCCGATGTCGTTCCGGATGCATAGTCAGCTTTTGCAGCGTGCCTGTGAGATCGTGGGTGTCGTCGTTTCTAGGGAGCGCTTCTTCATTGAGAAGATTCAGAGGCGAGACGTCGATGTTTTTCTCCATGTGCTCGGCGAAATTGATCCCGGGGAGGAGCTAGGGCCGGAGCATCAGAACGAAAAACAACGAGCAGCCTGTCGGGGATACACCCGCTCCACACCTTCTGCAGCAGTTTCTCCATCTTCTCGGCGCGGTTCTCCAGCGCCTCGACGTAGCTGGTTCAGATGTGTTAATGTATGCATGATGAAGTCCAGTCGTGTTTCACCCATTCGACGAAGACAGGGCCTGAATTCGCTCAAAAAGACGCAACTTAGAAAGCTTACAGAAGCGCCACACACCTTCACATAGTCCTTGTGCGTGCAATCCAGATCGTGCTGCGTGCAGTACGTGCACCGAGCACCCGGCCTGAGCTCGCTGTCGCCTGGATGTCACCGCTTTTCACCAACGGCCCTAGCGCAGGGCAGCCACGTACATCGTACTGCAATGGGGTGAGCGAGCGATGCGCGGGTCGGTCGGTCGGTCGGTCGATCGTACGACACCGATCACGGAATGGGCACGAGACACGCACTCTTTCTCCGGCGGCACGAGTCGCAGGCGTTCTGCGCGCGCCGTGGTTTCGCCTTCGACGCCGGCCGCGAGCGCTGGGGAGGCGTGCTGCGCTGGGAAAGCATGACCGCAGAGGTAGCGGACTGAGCCGTAGCAGTGGCATATGTGCCGGGCCGCGCGGCCGCAAGTGCTTCGAATGTCTTCGCATTTGTAATGACAACACCATAAGTCACATCACGGGATTGACCGCATCGCGCGTGACTGGCGGACGACCCACTTTTGCTGCGCTTTCGCGACGACCCTGCCTCCGGATTCATGTACCTCTTTGTCATCGACGCTGGATCTTTGCATGGAGATGTTCTCCCTGTAAGCGTGATCTGAGAATCTCACTTAGCCAATTCCCATTCAAGCAAGGCCAGCCATAACAGAGACATAAGCATGCACAGTCGAAATATGGATTGGTACGACGAACACCCACTCTGCAGTGACTTACATAAGCACGGAGTAAAGCTCGAGCTCGTTACCCGAGATCATCTCAGAAGTACGACGGGTAGGGCGGAACGTACGGAGGATCCACGGCAGACTCCACGGCTCGAATATGGCAGAGAGAAACTAGGACAACGCGGGCTACTACGGACACCCGGCCCCGATGAACCCCGCTGTAATATGTGTCCGCTGAAGTCGCGTCATGTAACTCAATACGCCGGACTCAGATGCAAAACATCACGGAAAAGGCAAGGATGCGTGCTACTGCGGCCTGTCCCGCGGTGGACACGCCCTGATCTGACAGATGGTAATAAGCTGTACCGGAGTAGACTTTTAAGGAACTCTCGCCAAGTAGGCGTTGTGTCAACAAGAATCGAGATTCAGCAGCAGCCAGATGCCCGCTCCAAGCCGGTGCATGGGATCAGGTCAGTTCTGCGGTCTCGAGGACGATGGTGGAGTCGGTCAGTCTTCTCTGGGAGGATGCTGGACAGTCCAGATGCGTAAAATAATCGTAATGTAATGGCACTGCCAAGTGACAGAGATGCTAGAGACATACAGTGTGATTAAGAGTCTGCTGGGACAGTCGCAGAGCCGGCTCTGGCTTTGTGATAATGCGCCATCGGGTCAGGCGATGACTCGAGGTAAGGAGGCGGGGCCTCGACGAATTGGGATGCCCTGGGGCCGGCCGCAGAGAAAAACCACATCGGGTCCGATGGATCTTTCGGCTGCGGCAGCGGGGGCAGCGGAGGTAGCGGAGGAGCGCCCATAGGTGATCCTGGCGGCACGGGCAGTGAGCGCTGGCTGTACTGGGATCCACGCCGAGATGTCCGCCCTGCAACTGATGGCGTAATGGGTGTCGACGGCTCTGATGGGGGAAGCGGCAACTGCCGTAATCGCATGGACTGCGAGCGCACCAGAGTCCGCGACGGCGTCGCCGGCGAGGGCTCCGATGGACCTGGCGGTGCCGGGGGCATGGCGAGGAACAAGGGCTCCGAAGGCCGCCGGCCGTACAGAGCGGCGAGCGGCTCACGTGGCGGCGTCGACTGGGATCTGTGCGGTGCACGGCCTTTCAGTGGCGTCGGAAGCTGCCGGCTCGCCCGAGAGGTCGGGGCATCAATCGGCGTCGGAGCCTCACGCGACGACGAAGACCGCGAGGTTGACGTCGATTCGTTCGCAAAATGAGTGGGTATCCGGGGAACAGGCGGCGGTGCACCAGGCTTCCGGTAATCCTGTCGGGGGGTAAAGATCGTGTCGGTCTGGTTCGGCGGTGTTTGAGGCAGCACGGGCGATGCCATCGCGCTGTCTCGTTGGCGAGCCCAAGTGTCATCGTCCGAGTCATCGTCGTCTGCAGCCCATGTCGACGTGTCCGGGTTCGGCGAGATGGACGGAAACAGGGGGTCTCCATAGATGATTTTCGCCATCTGCTTCGAGCTCGTCGGCACCGGCGCAGATAGGTCGGGCGTAGATGCATTCCGCGGAGAGGGATATCGTTTGGGAAAGATGGGCTCGCCGTAGAACACCTTGCGCCACTGCGAGGTCGACACCGGCGCTGAGAGGGGTGCCTGCTCGGCGAGCAGGTCGGACGATGATGTCCCGGCTGGCGACGCTTCTGCTCCGGGTCCCTGATACTTCTGCACCAGCATCCAGTCCTGGACATCCGTGACCAGAAGAAGCGCCGTCAAAATCAGGTGGTCGATCAGCAGAATCGACACGCCCTGGTGCATGGGCACCGGCCGAGCGTCGTATCTGTCGTGCAGCGTCTCGAAGATCCTGAGGCGCGGGGGGACGCCCTCGAATGCTGGGTGGAGCGTCGCAATGGGGCCTTTGACGCTTGACGTCGTGCACTGTCCCGAGGATCAGAGTCCCCGGAAATGGAGCAGAAACGAGCTCCAACGCACCCAATAGGCATTCCCCATGCGCTTCCATTTCATGCTCCCACCGAAATCGGGTATGGTGAATTTCGACGGTGCACTGCGGCAATCAGTGAGCATGGTGGAGAGGGGGCCAACGTGATGTGGCGCAGCGACGCACCTCAGCATGGTACCCGGTTTCAGAATCGCATCACCACTCTGCCAACGTCCATCAGACAACTGCACCAACACACCCAACGTCGCCCGCGTCTTGTCCTTGGTCGGTATCTGTCTCGGCCACTTGATTTCCGCCGTCTTATTCAGCCCGTCCCAGGGATCCGAGCGCAGTATGCTTGTCGACGTCCCCGAGGTGCGAATCACATACAGCGGATTCTGCGATACATCGTCCTTGACGGTGGAGTCAAGAAAAGAGACGGAGGAGAGCTTGAGAGTGACGCGGGGGGTCTTATTGTGAGCGACTTCCTCGAAGATTTCTGTTCTTCGCAGGTACGGGACGACAGAGGAAAACACGGAGACACGCGGTGTTCGAGGTGGGTCCGCGAGACGTGTCGTGGACTTGCGCTCGGAAAACGGCGACGAGGACCGGGACATGGACGTCAAGGGGAAAGGACAGAAACCAGGATGTGTACATCACACATTCGATGGCGGGGAGACGGCATATGGGACACCGGAGATAACCATGCATGATGAGACTTGCATCTGGTTCTTCGAATCTGATCAACCTCATCACAATGCCCTCCGTTTCAGGCTTAGAGTGCCTTGCTAGTTCCAGATACAAAGTATAAAGCGAGGAGAGGCGCTAAAAAGCAGGCGGTGCAGATAAGTTTGTGGTACCCATAATTCGCAGCTGGCATCAGGACTAGAAAGAGAGTGAGAATCATACATGGTCGTAATGAGGCTGACAGGTGTATTCCCAGTGCGAAACCAATCAGGTGACCGTCACTTTTTGCCTCCAACCACGACCACTGCTTACAACTATGTCTAGTTCTGCCACCGATCCCAAAGCTCCTGCGTGGGTCCCCGCCTCTGTCTTTCTTTCATACCTGTTGACGCGTCGCATATAGTACTGCCACCTCGACAACCAACGCGTCTGGTGCCTCTCCTGCCGCCGACAAAGGCAAGGGCAAGGTCATAGCCGACGACGCGATGGAAGAGGACGACGACGAAGATGACGACGACGACGACGATGATGACGATGATGAGGAAGAGGACAGTGAAGAAGAAGAGGTATGGTCGACCTATTCGACGCGTTCGACGCGCTCTGACGCGTCGCGTTCCCTCTTTGTGTTCTACAGGATGAGTCTCTCGCAGAGATCGACCCCTCCGTCATCCAGCCGCGTCGCACGCGTGGAATGAAAGTCGATTACACCAGCGCCGAAGCCCTTGCCAAAGGTCGGTATCTCCATCACTGTGACATCGCGTTCTCTGACGTGTCACGCAGCTGGGATGACTGCTCAGGAAGCTGCGGGGGATGAGGACGAGGACGAGGACATGAAGATGAAAGACTAAGCTCGAAAACGCATGCGTGCCTGACTGAAATCACTACACCGCGAAAACTTGCTCGTGCCTGCCATTTCTTGTTCTTTCGCTGTACTTCGCAGCGTGTTTGTAATCCAGAGACCTCTTTGTATCCGCTTGCCGAGGCTTCTGCCTTTGAACTGAGCTCGGAGCGCACTCGCACGCCTTCGGGGACGATGCCTATGCCGTCTCCTCCATCCCTGCAGCGATCTCGTCCCACATGAGTACATGCGCACGAGCTGCGCGTCGACGTCATGGTTGAATCACACTGCGTCTGAAGCCAGCAACAGCCGGTTGATCTTCTGACTGGATTGTCGAATACTTACCTCTCCGACACTCTGGTCATACTAGCGTGTGTCTTCCAGGATGCTTCTTCTACGTCTGGCTTCTTTGACCTCCTCCCGATCAGACGCTTGCGCCATTGCATCCGGCGCACTCCGACCGGTATTTGCTGACAAGCATCCACCGAAACCGTGTCGATGGCCACATCTCCGCTAGGTCTACGTCCATGTTGTCTCCATCAGCATATATCCACATGTCACGGTGGGACTGCTTAATGAAATGGGTGGCGTGGTTGCCGTCCACAACGCCTCCACGGGGCCGCCATCGTCATCGTGCCGCAAGTATTGCTTCTTCTGGCTTCTGGGATCAAGGAACTGATATCAGTGGAACTGTAACATGATATCTGTGCTCGTGCCAAGATGGCCATGCCGATCGTCGAACATAGAATTTAATATCTGGGTCTTTCCGAACATCTCAGGAATGAATGGGAGCGAGTCGCCGGAGAGTCTAGGCCCTTGACGTGCGGAATGGAGGAGTTCTGCAACTGCAAACTAGTTCTCGATGCGGAACAGCTATGCACGGCAACTGTGCTCAGATCCTCTCTGATCAAAGTAGTCTTCGAAATCGCAAACTCGGGAGGTGATACTCTAGATAAAAGTCTTGTCCGTGCAACGGTCCGTATCAGAAAAGAAACCTAGACTTAGTCTTCGCCGACTTTGGATGCATTTCATCCTCCAACGCAGCGAGCATCTGTCTTGTCGGTGACATGGATCCCTGCGACGCCTTTGGGCAACCTTCCTTCTTCCGGAACCTGCGTTCTTCCTCCATAACCGATTGGACCGCCAGCAGCATGACCGGCGACAGTGCGAGTGATTCCGAAACTGTGCGCGTGGGCTTCTGTCGCTCGGGTTTGCAGGCTTGCATGTCTTTGTGCGCGGATTTGTGCGGGTGCAGAATGTTATGCATCGTAGCATGGATGCGAGACACGAGTGGTGAACCGTGCCGTGAGGTGGGCGAGTCAGATGGAAATGACGCCTCGGTCGACCGTACAGTAGTGGGCAATCCTCGACCCAACTGCTTGTGCTGTTCAGCTTTGGTCGCGACGCTCTTCTCTTCTGATACAGGAAGAAAGTGAGATTGGATAGGAGAAGCAGACGTGAGAGGATGCAAGTCAAGTCCAAGATCTGTACGTTCGGACGAAAATGTCGTCTTGTTTCCACTTGCAGATAGAGTGTCCGCCTGGAACATGGGAAGGCGCTCAGGAAGTTCCATGATGGGTGATGGTGTCAGGGTTAACACGTTCGTCGCGCACAGGAGCGAGGGTTTCGTGGACGAGGGTGGGATCCTGGATGCCTGCGTATTTCCGTCAGTACGGTCCCGAGACGGAGAAGACGAGAAGCACCATTGTATCTTTGACCGAAGGACCGGCGGTATCACCCTCGACCGGAGCCAGAGTACTTTGCTGAGAGACAGGGCGGACGACGGTTAATCCAAGCCCTACACCGGCCTCCTGACGGAATATGTCGATGGAACGAATCTCAGTCTCTTCCTGGAGTGCAAGTCAGATATTCGAGATCGGTGAGAGGAGATGGAGAGCATACAGAGTGAGAGAGCACCTCCGAGATTGATGCACATGTCCCATCAGAAAAGTCCCTCCTTTTACTCAACTGTTTGATTGAGTCCGAATCGCCCCGACGGTTGCTTGACACATGTGGGGAGGCACCGAGAACAGGAGTCGTGGTCCAATTCTCATCTACGGAAACAACGAGATCAGAATAGGACACACTGGTCGTTGAGATGTTGCATCGTGTCATAGGACTGGAGAGACCGAGGTCGGATTCGAGTTCTAGACAGGCAGGCGAGGAAAGATTCATTTTTTCTACGGAGACTTCATCGGAGAGATAAGGCTCTGTAGAAAGCAGGATCGTAGGAGCGTCGGGAGACAGTATCATTGACTCGAATCGAGCGGACAGCGTCGTTGGAGATGGGGAGGAGCGCATGATGGGGATCGTGATAGAGAGGTGAGAGGACAAAGACGCTTGTGAGGAACCCCATTATGAGTTCCAGAGGTCTCACTGTTCCGCTCGTCAGTCTGGTTTCACTTGGGACTGGGGAGCCAATTTGATAACATCAAGAAGAGGATGAGTTTGCAAGGATTCCAAAGGAGATATTCACGATGCCTTGAAATTACTTGTTGTTGATCACTTGTGCTTGGATGAAGCAGCATAGCTTGGAAGGGACTAGGACAGGAAGGTGGGCCAATTCACCTCAGCAAGAGGTGGCTGTGCCCAGTTAATCAAGTGATCAATCCCGTTATCGATAAGTTTCACACATCATGCGACGAAGCTTTCTCCAACGTCTTGGGTAAGTAAGATTTGCAATGAGTGCTGCTATATAGCCTGCAGGTAATGGAGATGAGCGCATGATAGAACAGAGCTTCTCACGGACCGCTCCGCAGTGCTTTCAACCCGGTCGGGTGCAAAAGATTACGACTGTCAGATCTCAGAGGAGGACGGTACTTCGGTCCGGTCCCCGAGCCGGAAAAATCTAAACCCTCCAAGCCCTTCACTATCCACACTCAACACCGCTGTTTCCCTGATCAAAACATCCCCAACGATGGCGGTATTTATCGTAGTAATGGTGTGTCTCGGTCCTAGCTCGATCCCGACTGCCCGCTGATGAGTTGGATGCAGGGAGTCTCCGGAACCGGCAAGTCCACACTTGGCGCCGCACTGGGGGATGTGCTGGGCATGCCGTACATCGACGGGGACGACCTACATCCTCGGAGCAATGTCGAGAAGATGTCGGCGGGACATCCTCTCACCGACGAGGATCGGGCTCCGTGGCTGAAGATCATCCGGGAGACCGGCGAGCGGGTTGCGGGTGAGCAGGAGGCGAAACATAACGCAAGAAAGGCCATCGAGGAGGCCAGGGGAGCGGAAGAGCCAAATGGGGACGCGAAGGAGGCAGAAACCGTACCAGGAGTTGTGATCGCGTGCTCGGCGCTGAAGCGCAAATACCGCGATCTTTTGCGCGGACTTTCCCAGCCAACAATCACGGAGGGCGTGAAGACATTTTTCGTTTTCATTGAAGGAAGTCGCGATGTGCTTGTAGACCGAATGGCGAAACGAACGGGACATTTCATGAAGGTTGGCATGTTAGACAGTCAGTTGGCCACACTGGAACATCCGGGGAGCGAGGACGGCGTGGTGGTTGTTTCTGTAGAAGATCCGACGTCAGCGCAAGTGAAACAGTGTGTTGAGCAGCTGAAGGCATTATTCTAGGATTGTACTAAGCGTAGAGAGCTGAAATACTGTATGTAGCAACTATGATCATGGCCTATCGAAACAAGGCCCAACAACTTGAACGCGTCCATCATGTCCTCACTCTTCCGTTTGCCATCTCTTGCACTTGACGATGAGGACTTCAACTTCCAATCGAACGCGACCCACGTCCTCCCGGAATGGACGCCTCAGTTCTTCATTCGCCCCATGCTTGACAAGCCGCAGAATCCCATCATAGACACACTCAACAATCAAAGCAAACGCGCTCCTTCGACTCTACAGCGCTTTACACTACCTACGGAGCTCGCGTCTCTCACGCTCGACCATTTAGCTCCACCGTTGATACGTCCGTCGCTGCCGGCATTGGATGAAGATCTTCTGTGGACCAAAGCTTTGGCGGCTAGCCCATCCGGAGTATGTCGAGTCGATCTTCGTATCCAGAGAACTCTCTTATGGCCCATAGGAAGTCGTTTCATGGGACTCTTTGACAAAAGACCATAAACCAGAGTCCTCGACCGGATTCATATCTGAGCAAGACCCATTCGTGTTTGCTGCTGCTCGATATTAGTACGTGGTCCTGTGGAGCTCGCGCGGCCGCTCTGATCGTGAACTAGTGTGCAGCCATATTTACAGGATGCTAATACCATAATCAAATACGTCCAGCAACACGAATTGCTCTCCGCCCTGAAAATGACGGTGCTGGGTCTTGCTTCTCCGCTACATGTGTGGGATGAAACCTCGGAGGCTTTCGTGACTCTGAGGGGGGAGCATGGAGAGCAAACGATTCTTGTACTGGACGACAAAGACGAGATGGCTAGCTCGAGGTGATTATCCGTCGCATCTTCTACGAAACATATTCATTGCTTTCAGTTACATATCCCGGTTTCTTGCGATCGGCACGCTCATGCGTCGTTTGGAGAACTTTGTTGTCGGGCTGAGGTCGAGGTCAGTTGCTTGCTGTCGATGTCATTGCCGGCCTGGGTTAATGCTCCCAGGTTCTCGAAAGAGGGACCAACGATACACGCCTTCATGCATACGTTGACCACCGTGCTCGTCTTTCTACGAGAATCACTCTCGCAACTTCCATCGGACGCCAGTGCAAGACTGGCGCTGGTCTCGATCTGGAGTCGTTACGAGCTCTACGAACGATTGTTGAACGCCCTGGCTGACTTGTGCGGCCGAGTGTGTGGAAAACCCTTGCAGTTCCTGTTTATTGAAGGCTAACTGGAAGACAGAGTGTGAAGACGCCTTCCTCCAAGTTCACGTTCCCCGATCCCGATCCGATTAGTCTCCTTTCCCTAATCTATGATCGCCTCGAACACCATCTGAACCATCAATCGTCCAGAACAGTGACTGCGCTCATGGCCTTCCTTCTCTCTCGAACTTCGCGAGAATATCTCGACTATCTAGCCCGCTCTGTTGGGCTCGGGCCCATGATCGTCAAAAATAACCGTGTGGTGGGAGAACAGAATGACCAGTACGCACTCGATGCCGAGGACGACATGGACAACGAAGACCGGGTTGACTGGGAAAACGTTGGTGACGAAAGCTTTCCGACTTTCTTCCCCGCACAGTTGGCCAGCATACTGCCTGCCGCGCAGAAGTCACTCGTCTTGCTCCGGGCAGCTGAACCGGATCATCCGTTGCTGAGCATCAGACCAACTGCGCCCGTCGTTCAGTGGCTCTGGGCCTGGACGGACATCGAAGATATCTGGAACGACCAATGGAAAGACCTGTCAGCCGGCACGTCTGCAGAGGCTCTTCCTGCTCAAGACGACTCGCCTGTCACGGGCCTGGCTGCCCAATTTCGAGTGTTCGATCTCGAACCGGGAGCTCATCTGCTTAAATCACACGACTCCGCGGTATCTGTCGCAGATTTACAGGCATTCATGGCCGCGTTCCCTGAGAATCTCCCGCCAATCACCCCGACATTGGGACATCTGACGACGCTCGTTTTCGAGCCTCTGATGAAACATGCCTCCGCGCTTTCTGGGGCCCTGTTGACCCACTTCCTCATTCCTACGGCTTCGGTGCAGATAGATTCACAAGTTGAACTGCTCTCAGCGTACCTGCTCTTGGGGAAACCGGCGTTCCGATCACGGGTGTCGGCTGCGCTGTTTTCGGATGCAGAGGGTCGGGAACCTGGAGAGCTTGGCCCGGTCTCTGTCCGTGGCATCGGCCGAAACCGAGCTGAAGCTCCGGTGCAGTCCAAATGGCCCGTGGGGTTGTCGTTTTCGTTGTTGGAGCGACAAGTCTGGCCACCTGTGGGCGCCGATCTGAGCTTTTTCTTGCGAACAGTCATCGTCGATTCGTTCGAAGCGTCCGTGCAGGACACGCCCCAGTCATTCTGGATCGAGGCTGAGCGGAGGCTGGGCTTCGCTATCCGGGATCTGCCGGTTGTTCCTGGGCACGATCAATGGATGAATCCGATGGGTGAGGCCTCTATCTATGTTGTATGGTGGGCATTTGACTGAAAGATACCAGCGATCGAAGCCCTTGACTTTTTGTACATGGACTACAAGGCGCCGCATCCGATGGATATCGTGATCACCCAGGATGTTCTGTCCAAGTACCAGCGCATGTTCACTTATCTGCTACGGATCATTCGAGGTATGGTCCCCAGTCTCTTCACAGACGGTCAATGATGACCTCCGTCTCTCTAGTGGAGCATGCCATCGCAGCCGTGTTTCGTATGACCCGCCTCCCTGCGCGTCCAATTTTCCAGACCCTGGTCAAGCCACACAGAGTGCTTCTCCACTTTCGATTCATCGCACACAAGTTCGTCAGCTGCATATCCGCCTACGTGTTAGATACCGCTATCCGCGGGAACTTGGATCCCTTCCTCGCCCGGCTGTCCCCGGACTACCCCGAAGCCAAGCGCGGGTTCGGCGACGTCTTCGCGCTGGCGCGCATGCACTCGTCTCTGCTAGACGACGTGCTGAGTGCGTGTCTGCTGCGCTCGGCCCAGCGGATGGCCGGCGACCTCCTGCGGCAGGCTCTGCAGCTGGTTCTAGACTTTGCGGTGCTCGTCGGGGAGCGCTGTACCGGACGATTGGAGGAATACCAGGCCGAGCCTGAGTTGATCGCTTTGGCCAATGCGTTCCGCAGCAAAGTCAATGCGTTGGTGTGTCTCCCTCCTTCTCTGTAATTGCACAACGAGTGGGGCTGATACATGCGTCAGATCCAGGCCCTGAAAATGCTAGCTGAGAAGGGTTCTGGTACGAAGGACGGCGGCCCCACGGGCGGCCTCGAAGCAATTCCACATCTGCTCGAGCTGCTTTCCGAATGGTGGACAATTAGCGACGACCCTGCTTGAGCCTAGTTTGCCTTCCCGAGCTCTTTCTTGTGCATATTGGTCTCGGGTTCTGTCCGGGCCATTATCTGTCGCTCGTGAGGAGTATTATCATCCACGGCCCCGAGCTGGCCTGTAACTGGATGGTCATCGAGCAGCACGGATACTTGCCGATTGCCTGCTACAGTGATCCCACTTCATCCGAATCCGATGCTATTGGATCTCGAGGCTTCAGGCTTCGTGACGGTCGCCTAGAAATATTCGAGCGTTGCGAACTTCTGAACACACACTGAGACTCAAGCCCACTTTTAATCACCATGAGCCCAGCCGAGGCCCGCATATGTCGATAACTCCCGAGAGGCATCCTTTGCGAAGTAAGCTGCGGTTTATCTCCACCTCACAACCTGCTCACATCCGTGAAGCGAAATTCGATGTACTATGCATGGCCTCGAATCATCAACATCGTGATGTTCGGGACGAGTGAGAGCCACCGCAGCTTTTGGACTGCTTGTTACGGTCTCGAAAGGGTCGTCCCAACTGCGAGGGAATTCTGCAGCTCTTCTGTCTACCTGATAAGATTGGGTTTACCTTTTTGATAAGATCGAATACATTACGTGAACAATCATTTCTGTCACGTGTGTTCAAGTACTTGACTCGGAACGCACCAGCAGACCGCCTCTTCTACAGGCTGGCTTCATTCTGATACTTTCCCTCCCTCATGAATTGACGCAGCTTGGAAGACTGCATGTAATCCCATTTCCACAATGACTGGCCCGGAAACTGCATGCCAAGATTGATGGGAAAGACGTCACTGGTGCATGCACGCGTCGCTTAACTGTGGATCCCCAGAAACCTCCGTCATACCCAGCCGGGATGTATAAAGACCGGACGCGCATAACGGTGCTGCCCACACTTCGAACCTTTACGCCTCCATAATGACCTTGACGATCTTCCTTCTTTTCTTTCTCACCTCCTACGTCCGGGTCGTCGTCGCGCATCCCATGGCGACACCCATACCCATAGACGACTCGGCCTCAGGCACCCCCGTCCACGCGCGCGCAGTGACGAGCACGTCGAAAGCGGGGATCGCGGGCGGTGGGGACGCAGCGACCGACATGACGCAGTTCCAGTCCACGGGCAAGGTTTCGTGGTACTACACCTGGGGCCTGTACTCGGTCAACACCTCCCTCGAGTTCGTGCCCATGTTATGGGGCGACCGCAATAGCGATGTGTCCGACTGGACGGACGCGTCGTCGGGGATCAACGCGACCATTCAGCAGCGCAAGCCCACCGCTATCCTCGGCTTCAACGAGTGAGTGGCCGAGCGCGACGTGAGGCTTGGGGGACGCGACACTGATGGGTCGCACAACAGGCCTCAAGAGAAGGGCCAGTCGAACTTGACACCACAACAAGGCGCGCAGCTCTGGCAGCAGTACATCCAGCCTTTGAAAGGGCAGGGTCTGCGGCTGGGCAGTCCTGCGCCGTCCAGCGCGCCGTCTGGCAAGACGTGGATCCAGGACTTCCTGACAGCCTGCGCGGGCGGCTGCAGCGTCGATTTCATCGCCCTCCGTCAGTCTGCCATCTCCCTCTCCACGATTCTACGGACACTGACCATCGTGCGCATGGAACAGACTACTACGACGTGAACGCGACGGCGTTCATGGAGTACCTGACCGACTTCCACAACACATTCCAGCTGCCGATCTGGGTGACGGAGTGGTCGTGCCAGAACTACAACAACGGGCCGCAGTGCTCGTCCGACCAGATCGTGCAGTTCCTCAACCAGACGCAGTCGTTCATGGACCAGACGGACTGGGTCGAGCGCTACTCGTGGTTCGGCATCCTCCGCGATCTGCAGGGCGTCAACACCGGTGACGCGATGATGTCCAAGGACGGCCAGATCAACTCCCTCGGCAAGCAGTACATCGGCGCGGAGGCGCCCCAGACAAGTGGCGGGACGACCGCGGGCTTGCCATCGCTGCCGACGAGTGCTGGTTTGTTGGAGAGGGCGCTGTCGACCTGGTGGATTCTGCTGTCCTTCTCCGCAGCAGCTTGGTTATCGATCTAAGCACGGACGATGTTTGATATACCCCCCATGGACAATAGATATGCCCTGTATTGTACTTTTATTCGTGCATCACGTGCTGTCACACACTTGGGTGGACCTTCACTCGAATAGTCTGAGACAGCCTGTTCACGCTCTCAACGCGTCTTTCTCAACGCCCACCCAGACCTCTTCGAATCAGCAGGCTGCTCGATGATGCGCTTGCTTCGTGCTCGAACCGACAGATTTTCCAGAGGGAAATGGACTGCTAGACCTCGACGCGTTATCGACACACATTTTGCTACTTTTATGTGATACTGTAGCTATTTATGGGGGTGCAGGAAAATTGGTGAGCTGCACCGCTTGACCGGTGAGAGTGAAGTTATGGGTCAGGCTCTCAGGCACATCGACACTGAGGCCGTAGCTGCCGGGGTACAACCAGAGATTGCCGCCCTCGTCGGTGCGCGCGATGCTCCCCAGGGTCACACTAATCGACGCAGCGACCGTCCAGCCAGCCTTGAGCGCAGCCACGCGCGAGTACCCTATCAACGATTTGTTCGGGAACGGCGGCGGCCCTGCCGTCGTTTTCACAAACATCAGAGCGACAAAGTCCGACACGGTGTTCCCGGCGTTGTGCACGTTGACTTTGAACGTGTCAAAGACCGCCAGATCGGGGTGCGCGGCGGATCCGGCCGTCTTCAGCAGATTCGAGATCGAGTAGCTCGCGACCGGGGTCGTCTGCCAATGGACCGAAAACGTCGTGTAATGCAGCCCGAAGCCGAACTCGACGACGGGGGAGCCAGTATACCATTGGTATGTCCGCCCAGGGTTTCCCGACGTCTTGTTTGGCCGCAGGTTCATGTCAGTGATGGGCACCTGGTTGATGAAAGCTGCGGGGTATTGCGTCACAGGCAACCGGCCAGCAGGGGCGACTTTGCCACTGATAATGTCGAAAATAGCCGCTCCACCGCTTTGGCCGGGGTACCCCGCCCAAAGAATGGCTCCAACCTATCATGGATTCGATTGAGATCACTCGTAAGGGGGGGTTATGTCACGTACACCTGGATCGGAAAGAAGCGACGAATCGTCGATCTGCCCCGCACCGCACTGCACCACGACGAGAGGCTTGCCGATAGCCGTCAGATTCTGGATCAGCTCTAGTTGAGCGCCAGTCCATGCAATGGTCTTTCTGTCAAGAGCTTCCCCCTCAACAGTGGCGTCTGCAGACAAGGTCAACTCTGAAATGACACCCTCCAAAACAGAATAGAACCGGCCTACCTATTCCACCAACAAAGACGACGACGTCGGCAGCAGACGCAGCAGCAATCGCGTCGGCAAACCCAGCAGTAGACGTATCGGAAACATTCGCCACGCCGGGAACATAATCGACTTGGTATCCGGCTGCGCTGGCTCCCATGATGGGCGTGATCAAGAATGGCGCGGTGCCGAAGTAGCTGCCCTGCATCTGGGTGGTGGCATTGGCCCACGGGCCAATGACGGCCATCTTCGTCAGGTTTTTCTTCAGCGGAAGCGTGCCGTCGTTTTTGAGCAAGACCAGCCCTTCCGTCGCTGAGACGTATGCCAACGTCTGAGCAGATGGGGTGTTCACCGCATCCCATGTGATCTGCCGATACGGTTGCTGGGCGGGCGGATCAAAGTACCCCAGACTGCGGCGATATCAGAATTGCGCGCGCACCCGCGAGGAGTGTATATCACGCACCGCACAAGAGACGAGTACAGCCGCACGACTGCGCCCTCGACATCGGCGCGGTCTGCCAGGCCTTGATCGATGGCCGCTTGGAGATACAGGGAGAAGGTGGTCCCGCAATTCACATTTGTCCCGACCTTGATGGCCACTGCAGCTGCAGCGGGATAGGAGTCGGTGTACGCGTGAGCATCGAAGATGTTGGCGACGGCATCGCAGTCACTGGCAATCCAGCTGTCATTGCTGAAGCCGTAGGAACCGACCAGCAAGTCCTGGAGCAGATACGGGTCGGCGCATGTAGGCACTCCATTCACACTGTCATATTGAGTTGTCAGACGCTCTCACATAAATGAAGAGCATATACTCACGCATTGTAGGAGCACATGACCGCATTGACCCGGGCATCGCGCACACACGTCTGGAAGGGGCGCACGAAGTACTCGCTCAGCTCTTGGGTGTTGATGATAGCGTTGAATGAGGTACGCCCTCTCTCGACGTCATCTGCGCGCGTTAAGGCAGTGCATGAGGAAGCACAGAAAAAGACGCACACCCAGCCCAATGCTTGCACACTGCCGTGTTCTTGATGTACGGTTTTGGATCGATTCCACCCTGGAAGCCGTCGATGTACTGATACACGTACTGTGCCGCACGGAACGCGTCTTCTCCAGGAGTCTCGGGGCCCCGGCCCCATCGTGGGTCACGCCACGGGTTGATGTTCGGTGCAAACCAGTCCAGCCCACTCCGCGCCGCATTCGAAAACGCACGCGCTTCAGTGCTGATGGTTGTCGCGACAGCTTTGATGAGCTGGAACAGATTTAGGCCGCGCGGATGCCGATGTCCGACGAAAACTCACAGCGTCGTCGAATGCAGCACTCATGACGATGGGCTGAGGAAACTGCACGACACGGCGTCAGAAGCCGTGCAGCATAGACAACACAACAAACCGTGACTGACCGAAGTCGCGTAGCTGAAATTCCCACTGGCAGCAAATTTGACGCCGTGGACCGTCGAGATACCGTGCAGCGCCTCGCTCCACCAGTCGTACTTGGGTATCCCCAGCCGCGCCACGCCAGCAGCCATGTGCACAGTGTTGTTAATGAGCTCCGTCGTGGTCATCACCGCGACGAGCGCCTGGGCTCGGGTGATAGGATCCTTGGAGGTGTCGCACACAGTGTTATTGGCCAGCGGCCCATTGACGCAGTCAGGGAACTGCCCCCGGACAAGAGCCTGCAGGGCAGCGAGAAATGTGAGGAGCAGAAACATGCGCGCGCACAACAGCCCGAGTGGTTCCAGTGGAGTTTTATAGGTGCATGCTGGGGCTTCTTCGGAGCACGAGCGATATGAGCTCCCCAGATTGGGCTTTGCGGAGACGCAGAAACGTCTGAAAGGAAAGGCGGAGGCGGTCGGACCGCCGTACTAGTCATGCAGAGGGTCAGATGAGCCGTACGCACGACGTTCGACGCTCTATCGATCAGGAACTTTAGGTTCTCCTCCCAGATTTATCGCGAAGATCCACTCACGTTGGCCTGTAGAGTTCGGGATGACGAGTCGTGCCGAGACAGCTACACCGCTTCTGTCCGAAATAATCAGCGCTTTAACACATTCTTATCACGTTCAAAAACCCCAAATGTTGGTATCACGGTGAGCACCAACAGCGCGCGCTTCGTTACATGTCATGTACTGGTCTGTCGTAGATCACATAGTGCACGTGCACGTGTCGCGGGACCGCTGACTGTCAAACAATTGATGTGTGATAGACAGCTAGTCGAATTCCCACCAAAAACCGATCAGTCTTCCGTCACTCACCTCGTGCACCTAAGCTGGACTAAGTATCATGCGCTAGTTGGCTGACGCGATTAGAGTGCCGACAACTCATTGTCTGTACATGATTACACTTGTTCCTACATATAACTATGCTCAACTCAAAGGCTCGCTTTTTGCCACTTGGCTGGTGCGCCATCGGCAATAGCCAGATAGGGCATGAGGTCGCTCGTCAGGAACTCACTCGGCCATTCCCTGCGGATCTGCGCCTTGAGGTATTCGACAGCGACGGCAAGATCCGCCTCCTTCACGCCAGGCGCGAGTTTCTTCACACCCGGCGCGAGGTCGCCGATGAGCGAGTCGACGAGCTCGACGGTGACCGTCTCCCCCGTGTCCAAGCGCGACCCGTATTTGACCCATTGCCACAGCTGCACCCGCGTGATCTCAGCCGTGGCCGCGTCCTCCATGAGGTAGTTGAGCGGGATGCAGCCGTTGCCCCCGATCCAGGCCGCCGTGTAGGCCAAGGACGTCGACACGTTCTCCTTCACTCCTGCCTCAGTGATCTGTCCGGGGACGGAGGTGTTCAGCAGATCAGCAGCGGCAACGCGCACTTCCTCCCTGCGCACATGGTACTGGCAAGCCATCAGGAGACCATACGGGAAGACGGCAACAGGAAGACACACCTGGTTGGGACCAAGCATGTGTTGATCGAACACCGGGCGCGCAATCGACTCGATGAGCGGGTGGGCAATCCAGGTCCCGTCGTGACCTGCGAGCACCTCCCGCAGTTTATCCGCACGGACTTTGTCCATCGCCACTTCGTTCGCCTTGGCGTCGTTCTTGATCGGGATTTGCGCTGACATGCCACCCATGGCAGCGACTTTGCGCCTGCGAGCGTTGAGCCATCAGGAAGCAAGGAAGCAAGGCGGGAGGGAACACACTTGTGACAGGTCTGGATGAGAAGCCGCACATACGCGTCCATGAACCCGACCGTCATCGTCACATCCTTGCGATCCGGGAGCACCGCACTGCGATCGGCACGCCGCTTCTTGATGAAGCTGAAAATGTAGTCCCATCGCCCACAGTTCAGGCCCGACGAGTGATTCCGCAGCTCGAACAGGATTTCCTCCATCTGGAACGCAGCGGGTAACGTCTCGATCAGCACCGTGGCGCGGATGGTGTTGTGCGGGATCGCGAGATAGGACTGCGAGAAGAGGAAGACATCGTTCCATAGCCGGGCCTCGAGGTAATGCTCCATCTTGGGCAGATAGAAGTAGGGGCCCAGACCACGCTTGACGAGCTCCGCCGCATTGTGGAAGAAGTACAGACCAAAGTCAAACAAGGAGCCGGACATGGGAACGTTGTCCACAGTCAACCGGGGCTCGTCGAGATGCCATCCTCGTGGACTGGACCGCAGTTAGTCATCCTGCAACTTTACGACAACGCAAACGCTGTGGCATCCGTACCGTACGATAAGGACCGCGGGCTTCTCGCTGAGCTTGTAAGCCTTCCCGTTCGACTCAAAGTCAATCTCTCGACGAATAGCATCGCGCAGGTTAACCTGCCCTTCCACCAGGTTCGAAAACGTCGGCGCGCTCGAATCTGCAGCGCGATGTCAAGCAGCCGCAGGGCGACGCACACAAACCGACCGCGCCCAACGCACCTTCGAAATCCGCCATAAACGTCTTGGCCCCGCTGTTCAGCGCGTTAATGACCATCTTCCGGTCGGTCGGCCCCGTAATCTCGACGCGCCGGTCCTCGAGCCCCGGCGCAGGCGGCGCGCACTGCCACGACGGCTCCGCGCGAATGTTCGCGGTCTCGGGATGGAAGTCGAGCGGTACGCCCGAGTCGAAGCGGCGCTGTGCGTCGTCGCGCGCGTCGAGGAGCTTCCTGCGCGTGGACTCGAATGTCCGGTGCAGGGCGGCGAGGAACGTCAGGGCGTCGTCCGTGAGGATGACCGCCTGCGCCTTGGGAGCGACTTTAGAGTGTACGTGCAAGCCCTGGATCATGATAGTGATAGTTGGATGTGGAAGAGAGGTGTATTAGGTGTGCAAAGCCTTGTGTGCAAAGCTCGCATTTATGGGAGTGCGTCATTAGGGGCTACATTCTTTATCCAATCACATGTCATGGCAATCCACGGAACACGGACACGGCTCAGCGATCCCGCACGGTGGTCCGAAATTCGTCACGGCTTGCCTCCTAACCCGTACGACGTCGACGACGGGAACAGTATTGATTCATCATTCCACGGGTGAACGAGATCGCTATACTCTCCGTTGGACGTCTCGGGCATCTACCGGGGACCTCCGTCGCTGACCTTGAGCGAATGCCAAATCAGGCATGGGAAACTACTTGAGCAGCCTGACCTAGACGTCTCCGGGACCGGCGATGTCGATTCCCGTACACTCCCAGCAGATGGTGCAAGCGTAGATTACAATGTACATGTGAAAGTCAACAGGTACGTCAGTCAGCCCACACTAGCTTCCGCCTTCTTCTTCTCGTCTTGAGATGCGGAAACGTTTTTGGCGGCTTCGGCTTCGGCAGCTCGAACTACATGGGCCCGTATATAAATATCAAGCCGTTCGCGCTGCACGAGACTCACCGGCACTCATCTCCTTGGCCACGCGCTCGCCCACCTTCAGCACACGCCGGCACGCCATCTGCCATACACCCACACTCACAGACCCTGGCACACGGGGATCGGAGGGACATTCAGACGGCCAGTCAAAAGACGTACCAGCTGGAGCAAAGGGCAGCGACAGCCACCATGTCAGCGGGCCGAACCACGTCGGCGGGAGGTAGAACACGGCCGCCTTGCGGTACCACCACCCGACCACGAACTGCAGCCCCGTCGTGAGCACCCAGATCGCGGTGTTGAACTTGAGCGAGAAGGCCGTCTTGCGGGACGAGATGTCCCCGTCTAGAGAGTGCGCGCATCAATCAGCAACGCGCGAACGCGATACGGCAGGGCGCGCGTACTGAGTTTCTCGAGATCCGCCAGCCCCTTGTCCACGCTGCGCCGCAGTTTCGCCCACTTGGCGAACTGGTCCTGTGCGCTCGTGCGTAGAAGCTCAGCTTTGAGCGTGAGGATGTCGGCCTTGAGCTTGCGCTGCTTCGTCGCCGTCGCGGTGAAGAAAACACGCAGGTACAGCGCATAGACCTGCACACCAAGCATTCAGTCCAGCGCACGCACGCGTCGCGAATGCGAGTGATGCGCGTACAAATTCAAGGAGAGCCGATTTTCCTATCCATGCTATGAGCTCCGTGACAAAGACCAGTATGAAAATGGTGAAGAGGAGAGTCATCCTCGCAGACTCGCGTGGCCTGGAGGAAAGTGATGCGTGGAGCTTACGTAACCGATTTTGATGGTTTTCGTGACGAGCTTTAGTTGAACTCTCACTTGGTTCAATTACATAAATACATGCGCTGGATACTACCAATCAAGAATTCAAAAATCAGCCCCAGTCTTTTCCTTCGCCTCTGAATGAATGTCGCTGCCGGCGCCGGCATCGGCTCCGGCATCTTCAGGGTCTTCCGATGCGGACACAGAGAAATTGGTCCCGGTAGTCCTGGTCATCTCGGAATTACGGGCGAACCGAATGCTAGTTTCAGGACCGGATCTGAACAGCGTGCTTCGAGTTGGGCCGGTGGTGTGCTCGAAGCGCAACTGCCCTGAGGGCGGTGCCGACTCCTCTTCGAGGAACGTCGTCTCGTTCAGAGATCGATTGCCGTTGACGAGGAGGATGACAACCAGCGGATAAGCGCCCTGTGATAAATGACGTGGTTTTTGGTCTAGCACACTCATAGACAGACGACTCACTGCAATCTGCACATTGATTGGAGTATACAGATCCCCGACAGTGCCTGCTGGCAAACGGATCACAGAGGCGACGATGACAGTCAGCTATACGATCATGAGCACCCAGTACATACGAATCAGAGAAAACGCACCCCTGAGACGCAGTACAACAGACCCGACTCGATCAAAAGGACCAGAATCCGCTCGGCTTTCGTGCCTTTTTTATTCTTGGAGAACATAGCAGCCCCACCAAGCACTCGGCGGTGGCGTCTGTGCACGAAACTTGAGCCGATCCCCAGAAGCCAAGTTAGAGACACGTGGCTTACAAAGCAGTGGCACCGACCACGGCGGTTGCGGACAGGTTGGACAAGAGCGAGAACCCAAGATTGCAGATTTGCAGGATATCGATCATCCTGGAGAGTAGTGGTGTGCTGTGGCCGTCGACGTAGATGATGATTCGGACAACAATACTGCTGGGGACAGTGACTGCATAATTTAGCTCAATACGATGCAGCGGAGCGCACACGACTCAATCAACAGAGAACGCACGGGAGGTGAGGATCCAGAAAAAGATCGTGAAAAATAGATATCTTCGGTAGTTGCGTGCCGATATGATCCAAGCTCGCCAAATCACGATCGCGTCCGTAAAAATATACTCCAATATGTTAATACAGACGCGTTGTCAGGACGATGAGCGGTGCTCACATTGACGAGGACCAGATCATTGAAGATCGGGTACCAGGAGATGTCCTTTGGGCTATTCGACAGCGCCGATATAAAGTCGGATGGATTCTGGGCGTTGTGGATAAGATCGCGGGTCTTGTGCGCCACGACCTGTACAGAATAGCCCCAATAGGCAGCAGAGAGGAGATACATGAGCAAGGTCAGGCTGAAGATGGTGTAATTCGTGCGGCTCGTCAACCCGCGAGCTCTGCGACCAGGACCTCGGTTGGCAAACAGAACACCACGGCGGCAGCGGAATCAAACTTACAGCAACGCCCGCGTAGATAGCACAATCAGCAGACTGTAAATGCCTGTAATCTACATTTCAGTGCACCGAGTCGTCTTCGGGGCCAATCCAACACTGACCGAAGAAGAAAGTCTGTACCACAAGTCCGACGGAGTCATATGTCAAGACCCGGCCAGCCTGTTGAATCAAAGAGTCCAGCGAGGTCGACATCTTGCCCCGCACAAGAGGGGAGAACGAGAAAGAGGATGTGAAGTAAGCGCGCTCTCTCGCAGATACATACTTGAGAAGGTGTAGCTCTTACACCACCCGTGCGCTTCCTTGATGGATTAACAATGGATAGATTGCAGTCAAGTTGATGTCGTCCCGGAATACCACGAGACTGCGGAGAGCAGCTTGTTGAGATCTCCGTCGGAGTGATCGTTAGGTTGTCGACAACGCGAAATAGGACAATCCAGTCAATGTCGGAGGCATCAGTGATTCAGAGCACAAACCAACCGAGCTTAATACAGGAGCAAGGAGTCGCGCGTCCAGTAAGAAGCCATCATGATTCCGTCCCGCCGCGCAGCACATGCTGCACCGCGGATCCCAGACACAGGCACCCGGTCAGATGATTCAGTGCACCAAAACCAACGTTGAACAACACAAAGGCCACTACTCAGTGATATCGTACAACGGAACGTGCCCCGGCCGCCCTCCCTCCTGGCGATTACCTACGTGATCGCGGAACGCTCCGCTGGAGGGATCCGGCATCGAAAGCCGCGCGGCGCTCGCTTGCGAATACGCACTGCGGGAGGAGGCAGCCCCGATCGAGGGCACCCGCCCCAAGCTTTCCGTCGTCTTCGCCTCGATGGTCGAGTGGTGCGACGGCGGCGGGCTCCATGCCGATTCCGCCAAGGACACCGACCTGGTTAGGGCTACCCAGTGCTCCGTGCGGTTGTGTGAGCTCGACGTTGTGTCGATCTCGCGGACTAGCAATACCAGGCGACTGCTCAGTTCTTGTCTCTGCTGCGAACCGCCATGAGGAAACCATACCTTGATCCTTGGCATATCCAAGCAACGCACGCCGGTCAATACTTGACGCTGCACCCTTCGCTCCTCTCTTCCCGCGGAGCACTAAGAAGACTCCGAGGGCGAGCAATCCCAAGATGAGGCCTGCGCCTAGGCCGATCATCGCGACCTCGAGGCTCGAAAGCGCGGCGGGCGTCCTATTCTTCTGGGGCACTGCATCTTGAATCCCGAGCGTCGTTGGCGGCACGTCGAGAGCAGCTTACATTTGCGAATCCGAGCTTCAGAAAAGTCACGAAGTGCGCGTCGAATCTCATACATACTTTGAGTCACCACTATTATGGAAGGTCCTGAGAGCGCGCACTGAGCATTCCTACTGAGCAGATAGGGAGATATATGGATGGCGTACCCGAGGTAGGCGCAGTGTAGATGACCGGCACCGTAACAACTGTCGCGTCTGGGACCACAACGCTCGTCATCGTTCACGCACGCGTGTATCTGTCTATTCCAAGCGCACGCGAACGGGGAGAACTGAACAAAGAGTGTTATAAATTCGGTAGAGCGAAAGAGAGAGATAGGAAAAAGCGTCAAGGAAACGAGCAGAAAGCGAAACCCTCGCTTACCGAGGCCGCTGAAAAGATCGCTGTGCAGAGAGCGGGGTTGCATGGCCGTATTGAAGGCTGAGGGCCTGGAATGGTGTTCTCACGAATGCAATCCGAGCACCTCAGAACTGAATGGCGTCAATATCCTCGGCATTCACCCGGCGTTGCTGTGACGACTTCAGAGTTGGTCGAAAGGAAAGATGATGACCGCCTTTGTTGTACCTGAATCTTGCCATGATCACATCTAATCAGGAGGCTGTGCCCCGCCAAGCGAAAACTAGCTAACCTGGGCCCCCGATAGCATTTGTGTCTTCGACTTTTATGCATTCATTCATACTTCTACCGCCCCATCCAGCCACCGTCGACCACAAGACTCTCACCGCACACGTAATCGGACGCGCGACTCGCCAAAAACACGACCGCGCCCTCAAAGTCCTCTGGCGCGCCCCACCGCGCAATGGGAATGCGCTCCATGATCTGACGCGACCGCGTCGGGTCAGCAATCAACGCGGTGTTCATCTGGAGAGAAAGGGAAAGTATTGGTCAGAGGGGAGGACTGGCTGAATGATCGGGACACACCTCGGTGGCGATATATCCCGGAGAAATGCTGGAGACAGAACGTTCATTCATTCAGCATTTCCGCGACACGAGACCTGCTCACCCGTTCACGTTGACTCCCTTCGAGCTCCACTCATTCGAGAGCGCCTTGATCAAACCTAACACCCCGTGTTTCGAAGCAGCGTACGCAGGCACAGTCAGACCACCTGGAAGAATCGAAGCGTATCTTGTCATTCATGCTATCCGGTGCGACCTGGATGTGCATGCACAAACCTTGATATGACAGCAAACTGGCCACGTTGATTATCTTGCCACGCCGTCCTGTGAAGCCCACACCGCGTTTCGCCAACATGTGTCTTCCGCAATCTCTCGAAAGAGTCCACACCGCTTGCAAGTTCACTTGCAGTACCTTAGACACACATCGGACAAGAGCTCGACCCGTGGACTGGTGATACGCACCTCGTTCCAGTAATCGTCAGAGAACGTCTCCGCAGGCGCTCTGTGATGTCGATGAGCTGATAAGTAGCAGGGGGGTCATGGAACGGTCTGACCGCCGCTGAATTCCACCGCAGTTGACGAGGATATCAATGCTCAAACCCATCCCCTCGACCTTCTCTACGAGCCCTCCGACCTGCTCCTTCACGGCGAGATCACACTGCACGACGGTGACATTGCGGCCCAGGGCGCGCGCCTGCTCGGCCGTCTGCTGGTTATCGAGCGTGCGCTGCGCGAGCATGCACGCGTCAGTGGGATCGGATGGGCAGATGAACGCAACGGACCTGGACCAGAATCAGATCGGCGCCGGCCTTGGCGAGCGCGAGCGCCATCGTCTGGCCGATCCCGCGCGTGCCTCCCCTGCCCAGTTCCAGATCAGACGCGCACGAAATCCACGGACGACGAGACACGAGACACGTACGTGACCAGGGCGGAGCGCCCTTGGAGCGAGAAAAGAGATGTCAGATATTCGTTGGAGGACATGGTTCTGGAGAGGAAGTGTGGGTGGGGTGTTCCTTGTCCATTTCGTGGAAGTGTAGATTTAAAATAACAGGTCCTGAGTGAGGGGGGATCCGGGATCCGGTCCGACCTGCCGAAGTGGGCCCATCCGATCAGCAAACTACCAGTCGCATCAATCACGAGGGCGTGCGGGCCGCTCCTCGAGCAGAGCGCAAGTGCGCCGCGCTGCTGATGCGTACTGAATTTGACTCCGGTATCCTCCGGAATATGTAGACGCAGTGAATTAGAGTGCAAAAATGGAGTATCTAAGTATACACTCGACAGGAGCCTGCTGGAACTCAGTCCCGAGCCATGA